TGTGGCGTACATAAGTACTCTCTTATACTTTTTTGGAATTCCATTTCCCAGAATTCCTAGCAGGAAGGCCTCTGGTTTCTTAGGAAGAGAGTATTTGAGCATTTTCTTAAGTCAATTGCAGGTCATTTCCCAGAACTGCCTACTCTTATTACAGTTCCACTACATGTGGATCTATGTACCTTCAGCCTCCCTGCATTTCCAGCAAATATTTGTCCTAGATCTAGGACATTTTTTTATTCACAAAATGTTTAAGGGCATGCGTACCCCCCCCGAGCCCCCAGGAAAAAAAACCCCCACTGATTATACTGCAAGGGGTTTCCAACACACTTTTGGCTGGCGAACTAGTCTCAGCTTCATCTCCCACATAGGGAATGTTGTGCCATGGAGCTTTTCAGATATGGTCAGGGGAAATTCTCTTTGTCTACCATCCTCATCCAACCTGGTATAATTTGAAGATCTGGAATCATTTCCTTCACTTGCCGTTTCCCGCAAGCCCACCCTTCCTTCCTTCCCTCCATCTCTTCCCTTTTCACTCCGATGCAGAGCAAATTGACACCAAGGGAAGAGTCATCCCCACAATGATGCTGCGGAATAGAATGGAGAGTCTCCTGCTCCCCGCTGCCCCTTCACAAGTTGCAATATACAAAGTCACTGGAATGTGCTTTGATAAGAGAGAACACTATGAAGCTCTTTTATTCCTCTTTTTTTAAATAATAAATAAAATTCATTCCAGTTGCACCTTAGAGACCAAGTAAATTTGTTATTGGTATGAGCTTTTGTGTGCATGCACACATCTTTTTTATTTATTTTTATTTTGATTCGACTACGGCAGACCAACACGGCTACCTACCTGTATCTTTTTTAATAAATATTTTTATTAATTTTCACAATTAAACCAAATCATCACAGATGATAAAAATGGAAAAAAGATTTCAAACAACTGTATTCACATAGTATTAAATCCACGTTATGGGATTGACTCCCTCCCCCTGGTTCCTTGTGTTATCTCAGTTTATGCATGTCAATCAAGACTTTATCTCTGATTACCTCCAAGCAATGGCAAGTTCTTAAAGAAATGGGAGTGCCTGATCACCTCATCTGTCTCCTGCGAAATCTCTATGTGGGACAAGAAGCTACAGTTAGAACTGGATATGGAACAACTGATTGGTTTAAAATTGGGAAAGGAGTACGGGCAAGGCTGTATATTGTCTCCCTGCTTATTTAACTTATATGCAGAATTCATCATGCGAAAGGCTGGGCTGGATGAATCCCAAGATGGAATTAAGATTGCTGGAAGAAATATCAACAACCTCAGATATGCAGATGACAAAACCTTGATGGCAGAAAGTGAGGAGGAATTAAAGAACCTTTTAATGAGGGTGAAAGAGGCGAGTGCAAAATATGGTCTGAAGCTAAACATCTAAAAAACGAAGAACATGGCCACTGCTCCCATCACCTCCTGGCAAATAGAAGGGGAATAAATGGAGGCAGTGAGAGATTTTACTTTCTTGGGCTCCATGATCACTGCAGATGGTGACAGCAGTCACGAAATTAAAAGACGCCTGCTTCTTGGGAGAAAAGCAATGACAAACCTAGACAGCATCTTAAAAAGCAGAGACATCAATCTTGCCAACAAAGGTCCGTATAGTAAAAGCTATGGTTTCCCCAGTAGTGATGTATGGAAGTGAGAGCTGAACCATAAAGAAGGCTGATCGCCAAAAAAATGGGTGCTTTTGAATTATGGTGCTGGAGGAGACTCTTGAGAGTCCAATGGTCTGCAAGAAGATCAAACCTATCCATTCTGAAGGAAATCAGCCCTGAGTGCTCACTGGAAGGATAGATCCTGAAGCAGAGGCTCCAATACTTTGGCCACCTCATGAGAAGAGACGACTCCCTGGAAAAGACCCTGATGTTGGGAAAGATGGAGGGCACAAGGAGAAGGGGACGACAGAGGATGAGATGGTTGGACAGTGTTCTTGAAGCTACCAACATGAGTCTGACAAAGCTGCGGGAGGCAGTGGGAGACAGGAAGTGCCTGACGTGCTCTGGTCCATGGGGTCACGAAGAGGCGGATAGGACTAAACAACAACAATGAGATTGAATTGTTAATAAGATCAAGCACATTCCTTATGGCAAACATGTCATTGGGCATTCCAGTGACTGTTGGCATCCTCCTAATGAGCAAATAGAAATGATTAGAGCCGAGTTTAATGAAATGGGGAATGAAAGTGGACTAGAGAAGGATGAAATGCTACATTTTTGTATGTATATTTTGTACAGATTGCTCTTGGAATAGCACACAAGAGATGAACAGGTCAAATCTGTAATGATACACTGAGCAAAGGACTTGGGGCACAACATTCAGATTGCAGTTTGGGAAAAGTTATGGAAAACAGATTTGAAATTTAGGGCTGAAAGAAAACTATATGAAAATGATGTACCGGTGGTCGTTGACTCCTAGTAAGCTAGCAACAATGTATAGAACCAGTACAAATACCTGCTGGAAATGTAAAGAGAAAGAAGGTACCTTTTATCATATGTGGTGGCTGTGCGAGGTAATAAAAGCTTTCTGGGAGATGATATATAATGAATTGGAAAAAAATGTTTAAAATAACTTTTGTATATATAAAAAAACCAGCAGCTTTTTTATAAGGAGGAAAACCTTTTATGCATGTGACAAGAGCCACATGGATGCTACTAGCCTAGAGGTGGAACGAAGACAAAATCCCGCCCAGAGAAGAATGGTAAATCAAGCTGTTGGACTATGCCAAAATGGCAAAACTGACTGGAAAGTTCAGGAACCAAGAAGACAAAAAGTTCAAGAAAGAATGGGGAAAATTTATAATTTATTTAGGAGACTACCGTAAGCAAATGAAAACATTAGCAGGATTTTAATCTCACTTGTAATGTAACAAATTCGATGGATAATATGGATAGATATAAAATATAGATTTGATAATAATAAGCAGTTGAAAATGCAGACATTAGGACCCATGGAGGGGATGGGGGTGTCTCAAGATTCGGATAAAACTCTGTATATGGAAATGTATTTGGTTTTGTTGTAAATCTGTATTTGAAAAATCAAATAAGAACTGAGATAGAGAGAGAGAGAGAGAGAGAGAGAGAGAGAGAGAGAGAAGGATGAAATGGAAAATGGAAACAAAGAGGACACAGAGACTTCAGGGAGCAATTTCAATAAAGGGTTGCCAGAAAATGGAAAAGCTCTTCGCAGAGGTATTTAGAGGAATGAAAAAGTAGAATTGTTGTGATGTTGGAGGAGTGGAATGAAGCCATGGATGGAGAAATGAAGAGAGACCCTGAGCCAACAGAGACAGAGTTGAGAGAGAAAGGTCTCTGTCTACAACCTGGAAATTCAGTTAATGAATACACAATAAAAAAGGATTGTGGCGTACTATTTTAATATATAAATAAAATAAACTCTTGTGTGGACAAAGATGGAAAGATATTTTAACATTTAATATGGAGGAATGGTTGAAGTTAATAGAGGTAAAGTTCATGTGTTTGTTTAGAGGAAAATGATTGCTGAAATTTATTAATAGCAATAATTAGAGAACCCCCTTTGGACTTTTTGTTTATAAAGGAATATGAACTAATCAGATACATTTGGAATAGAAGACTGGGAAAATATTACCTAACAGAAAGTAGATCTGTTGGATGTCATTCTAGGGTGAATATTTTTAATAATTTATTTTATGTAACAGATTGGGAGAATCAGAAGTCGTTTTCTCTTTTCTTTTCTTCTATATTGTTGTTTTCCTTTGGTATTTTCTCTTATCCGTCTCTCTTTGTTTCTGTTTTTTATTTAGATTTGTTTCTTTTATCTTATTGTATTACTAAAAATCTGTAACAAAATCTTATTTAAATAACATTTCCCGCACTCCCAACATTTATATGCTTTCTATTATTTATGGAGTCTCTGGTGTTTTTTAAGGTTTCTCTGTGAGAAACATTTCCCACACTATACACACTGGTAAGGCCTCTCTCCTGTGTGGACTCTCTTGGGTATAAGAAGCTCCAACTTTTCAGAAAAAAACATTTTTCACACTCCAAGCATTTGTAGGGCTTGTCTCCTGTATTGATTGTCCAAGGGATTATGAGATATGCTTTCTAGGGTTCTGATTTATTATGATTTCTCTCATGCCTACGAAGGTTCTTACTCTTGGTAAATAATTGTCCACATTCTGTGCATTTGTAAGGTTTATCTCCTGCATGGGTCTTCTGATGGATCATAAGCCGCCATTCGCTAGCAAAACATTCCTCACACTCTGTGCATTTATAGACTATCTTTCCTGTGTGGATTCGCTGATGTTTCAGAAGACCGTCTCTTCTCGAAAAGAATTTCCCACACTCTGAGCATTTGTAGGGCTTCTCCCCTGTGTGGGTTCTCTGATGAAGCACAAGACAGTGTTTCCTAGAAAAACATTTCCCACATTCCATGCATTTATGGCATCTATTTACTGTATGCTTTTTCTGGTGCCCCTTAAGGGTATGTGAATGAGAAAATATCATTCCACATTCCAAACATATATATGGCTTTCTTGGGTGAATTCTCTTATGTCTCATAAGATGTGCTGAAACAGAAAAACATTTCCCACAATCTTCACATTTATAAGGCCCCTCTCCTATGTGCACTCTCTGGTGTTCATCAAGTTCTGCTAGGCTGGCAAAGTGTTTTCGACATTCCACGCATTTGTAGGGATCCAAATGAGTATGATTTCTCTCGTGTCTACGAAGGTTCTTACTCTTGGTAAAGACTTTTCCACATTCCGTGCATTTGTTGGGTTTCTTTCCTGCATGGCTTTTCTGATGGATGATAAACTGTGATTCGCTGGTAAAACATTCCTCACACTCCGTGCATTTATAGGATATCTCACCTGGGTGGACTCTCCGATGTTTTACAAGACTCTCTCTCCTTGAAAAGCATTTCCCACACACTGAGCATTTGTAGGGCTTCTCCCCTGTGTGGATTCTCTGATGAATCACAAGACCGTCTCTCCTAGAAAAACATTTCCACATTCCAAGCATTCATGGCATCTATTTACTGTATGCTTTTTCTGGTGCCCCTTAAGGGTATGTGAATGAGAAAATATCATTCCACATTCCAAACATATATATGGCTTCCCTGGGTGGGCTTTCTTATGTCTATTAAGATGTGATGAAGTAGAAAAACATTTCCCACAATCTCTACATTCATAAGGCCCCTTTATTGTGTGCACTCTCTGGTGTTCATCAAGGTCTGCTAGGCCGGCAAAGCATTTTCCACATTTCCTGCATTTGTAGGGTTTCTCTCCTGTGTGGATTCCCTGATGGATTTCAAGTTCTGACGGCGAAACAAACCTTTCCCCACACTCCGCACATTTATGGGGCCTCTCTCCACTGTGAACCGCCTGATGGCTCCAAAGGGCAGATTTATCAAGAAAACATTTCCCACACTCTGTGCATTGATAGGGTTTCTTTCCTGGGTGGATTATCTGGTGTTGAACAAGATCTGATTTTGTGGGGAAGCGTTTCCCACACTCCAAGCACATATGAGGCTTTTCTCCTGAATGGGTTCGCTGATGAATAACAAGTTGTGGCCTACAAGAGAAGGATGACTCACAATCACTGCATTTGTGGCATTTCTGTCCTGTGGGGATTTTCTGGTGTACAAGAAGCTGTGATCTCCAGAGAAAACTTTTCCCGCACCCATCACATCTGTGGGGCCCTGTGTGGATTCTCTGATGTTTCACAAAAACTGATCGGCTAGGGAAATTTCCCCCACACTCCAAGCATTTATATGGTTTCTTTCCCGAGTGGCCCTTCCGATGGATGACAAGGACAGTGTGCTGAGCAAACGATTTGCCACATTTCATGCACTTATAGGGTTTACCCCCCTTATAGATCTGCTGACGTCTCACCAGTTGCCGCCGTCTAGAAAAGCTCGTCTCAGACTGTAAGTATTTGTGTCGTTTATTTCCTGTGTGGACTCTCTGGTGTTCACAAAGCTGCAATTCCTGAGGGAAACATTTCCCACACTCCAAGCATTTGTACGGTTTTATTCTTGCGTGGGCTCTGAGATGCTTCACAAAATCCGAGAGTCGGGAATGTTTCTCTCCACACTTCCGGCAGTTGTAGGAGTTGTCTGCTGCGTGGACCTTCCGATGGAGCTGAAGGACAGATCGATGAGAAAACGTTTCCCCACACTCTGCACACTTATGGGGTTTTTCTCTTTGGCGGGTACTTTGGTGGCTCAAAAGCCCTGAACTCTGACCAAAACATTCCTCACTCTCACTGCCGTTCTGGGGCTTCTCTCCTGTGTGGATTCTCTGGTGTCTGGCAAGAGCCAACGTGGAGGCAAAGCACTCGCCACAGATCGGGCAGGTATATTTTCTGCTGGTGTCATCTGCTTAGAGAGAGAGAAGGGTGGAAAGTTAGTCTTGAGTCTGGAAGAGAAGGAACCACACAATACAAACTGAATAATGGTTGTGCTATGATATGCAAGATATGAAGCCTGAAACTGTGAAAGCTCTCACAACCCCCCACAATTTACATTAAGTGTAGCCAGGGGTAGGCCCACAGCCCCTCTGTTCTCCACCCAAAGTGGCCTCACTTTAGTCATCATCATCACTTTTAATTTGTAAACCATCTTTCTATCTTACGATACCCAAGGCGGTTTACAAGCTGAAGAAACAAAGAACGTACACCTTATAACAATCTAATGTGTTAATAAAACATAACTTTAAAATAAGCAACCCACATCAAATAAATTAGCATTCAACAATCACTAGAATAGTATAGAATAATATTAAATATCAGCATATAAAAATTAAACAAAAACCCACTCTTAACAATTACAATAAATAACTTCGTTGTTGTTTTTTTTATAAAATTTTTATTGGTTTCACAAAGTTTTTAAAACAACACAAACATATAAAAAGACATACAAACACGTATAATTTCATAACCTTTTTTTTCATAAACCTTGTTTCTCAGACTCCCCCATACCTCCCCTTTCTGCATCCCAATGTCCAAAGTTTTTTAGCAACTTCTAAATATTTCTGTCAAGCCTCTGTCATCTTAATCTTTCCTTCAGTCTACTCTTATATCACTGTAACCCTTTCTTTCTCAAAACCTCAACATTCTAACATTCATCGAGTTTATAGTAGTCCTTAAGATAAATTTTAAATTTTTTCCATTCTTCTTCCGCTGTCTCCTTCCCCTGATCGTGGATTCTGCCGGTCATCTCAGCCAGTGTCATATAGTCCATCACTTTCATCTGCCACTCTTCCAGAGTGGGTAGATCTTGTGTCTTCCAGTACTTTGCGATGAGTATTCTTGCTGCTGTTGTAGCATACATAAAGAAAATTCTATCTTTCTTTGACACCAATTGGCCGACAATGCCCAAGAGAAAGGCCTCTGGTTTTTTAGGGAAAGTACATTTAAGTACCTTTTTCATTTCATTGTATATCATATCCCAGATAGCCTTAATCTTCGGGCACGTCCACCAAAGGTGATAGAAAGTACCTTCAATTTCTTTACATTTCCAACACTTATTGTCAGGCAGGTGATAAATTTTTGCTAGCTTGACTGGGGTCATGTACCACCTATAGATCATTTTCATGATATTTTCCTTTAAAGCATTACAGGCCGTAAATTTTATACCGGTATTCCACAACCATTCCCAGTCAGCAAACATAATGTTATGACCAATGTCCTGTGCCCACTTAATCATAGCCGATTTAACTGTTTCATCTTGCGTATTCCAATAAATAAATAAATTATAAATAACTTCGAAGCTACAATCATTAACACAACAGCAAGCCACAGTGCATAACATAATAGAATAAAAAAATTGAGAAGCAGAGACTGGAGGATGGGACAAGGCAGGTGGAAGAAGGCCTTGCCTGATGAAGTCTCTCCCTCTCAGAAGTGGCTTTTCAGGATGTGCAAGGCTGCCATCCAGATCACCTTATCATTGGGGTCAGGTTCCCAGCAGCATTTTTGATGTTTCTTGCTGGCATTCCACGAAGGTGACTAAACTTCCAAACTTTTCCAAACACAGCTTTTTTTGGCTGTGGCCCCGATCTGGTGGAACACTCTGTCACAAGAGACTAGGGCCCTGCGGGACTTGACATCTTTCTGCAGGGCCTGCAAGACAGAGCTGTTCCACCAGGCCTTTGGCCAAGGCAAAGTCTGACCCCCTCCTTTGGCAATCCTCACAGACCTCTAGCCCAATGCTTGCCATTAATTTGATTTTGAATTGATTTTAGAATGCTGTGTTACTTTTATTGTTGTTAGCTGCTCTGAGCCCGGCTTCGGCTGGGGAGGGCAGGATATAAATAAATTATTATTATTATTATTATTATTATTATTATTATTATTAAACCTTGTCATGAGGTAGTGATAGGTTGTTACAATCCCACCCCCCACCTTGAAAGCTACACTGAGCCACACAAGGAAGGTGTGAGTGCATGGCGGACTTTGGGCTTTGAAATTTCAACACCGCCCCGTGAAACGCCGAAATTCGGTGCCCCAAACAACTCTCCCCTTCCAACGTTCCTCATTGTTGTGGTGCCCCCAGCAGCTCCCTCTTGGCTTGGTGTTCCCCTTAACCTGCCTTTGGTGAGTGTGACACTCTCCTCTGGCATACTCTGTGGCATAATGTCACTGTCTGCATAAATTGCTCCTTATTTCTCCATTCCAGAAGATTCCCCGATGCACAATGACCTCTGGATTCCTCTTTAACAACATCATCATCAACAACAATGGGTTTCCCCAGCCACTCACGGCGGCTCCCAACAGAGGACTAAAAACAGAATAAACCTTCAAACATTAAAAACTTCCCTAAACAGGGCTGCCTTCAGATGTCTTCTAAAAGTCAGATAGTTGCTTATTTCCTTGACATCTGATGGGAAGGTGTTCCACAGGGCATACGCATGTGAAAACCATTTAGTCGCTGACCTACCTGGACTGGCTGGGCGACAGTAGGAGTGCTCCAGCAATAACATCGCTCCCAGGGAAAGGCGCTTCTGCATCATTCTCCTTGGTTTTCAACTGACGACTTGGCGGAGGATCACGACGGATGTGGGGCCGCCTCTTTTTACCACCCTGTATGAGAATAGAACTTTTAGCAGTGGCCTCTCATTCGCCTATGGGATTAATAATAATAATAATAATAATAATAATAATAATAATTTACTTATACCCCACCCATCTGGCTGGATTTCCCCAGCCACTCTGGGTGGCTCCCAACAGAATTAAAAGCACAAGAAAATATCAAACATTGAAAACTTCCCTAAACAGGGCTACCTTCAGATGTGTTCTAAAAGTCAGATAGTTTTATTTCCTTGACATCTGATGGGATGGCAGGCGCCCAACATTTTGAATTGCACCAACACTTTGAATTGTGCTTGGAAACCTACTGGCATTTGACTGACCAGCAAGAAGACCTTGGGGTCATAGTGAACAGCTCAAAGGTTTTGGTCCAGTGTGTGTACAGAGTCTGTGAAAAAGGCAAATTCTCCATACAATATAATAGTGCCATTATACAAATCTATGGTGCAGCTGCATTTGGAATAATACAGGTCACCGCACGTCAAAAAGCATTTGGGGCTTTTCAGAAAAGCAAAGAGAGAGGTGACACGATAGAAATTTATAAAATTATGCATGGCATAATTTTAGTGGAAGGGGTGAAGTTTAGTGGAAAGGGTGAAGTTTCTCCTCCTCTCTCAAAACACTCTTGTTTCAACTTGTCCGGAGCATTGTGTGTCTCACTGATCCTTAGGGTTGCCATATTTCAAAAAGTGAAAATCCGGACACAAGTTTTCGAGTTTTCCCCCTCATGGAAATTCACCAAATTCTACACTTCTGACATGGGTTTCTGTACATCTGGATTTTTCCGGACATTACAGCAATTTCCGCCCAGACACCATTTCCGACAGCTGGATCCTGGCTATTTTCAGGAAGTTCCAGATGCATGGCAACCCAACAATCCTGTCTGCCAATCTACCCACCACAACCAGAAGCTTCTTATGGGAAGTCTGTTATGTCCTGAAAATCCCTATTGTTTTCCTGCCACCACCAGTGCAGGATTAAACCCTGTGGAGGCCCCTAGGCAGTCGAAATCTCGGGGGCCCTCTTGTAAATGGTATCCTAATAAGTTTTTGATTTTACCAACCAGCAATTTAAATAAGCCAATTTTGATACACCACCAATTATTTCCAGTGATACTGCTGCAGACTGCATCCACCAATTTTAGAAACAATATCTGAGGGGGCTTCACATCCCCCTTTTCTCTCACATACACACCTCACTTTCCATGAAGGTTTTCAAGCAGAGGTTGCAATGTAATGTATGACTTAGCTGAACTTGGCATTACAATATGAATTCTATGGCAAAAGAAAATACAAAAAAGGACACAAACAAAAAAACCCAGAAATGCAATCATCTGACTTCGGGAGGGTGGAGTGAGGGCTCTGGGATGGTGCCAGAGCCCTGTCTACGCCTTATCTATCTATCTATCTATCTATCCACACAATTTGTGCCTTTTTCATTACAAGTTTTCATATCCATTGATTTACTCACACAATCATGGTCATCGACTTCCCTTCCTCCCTTCCATAGTTCCGTACTCTCCAATTCTACCTATCCCTGCTCTTTCCCTCACGCATCCGCTTAGGAAAGCATGTGTGTGAGCAGTTTCTGCCTTGCCCCACTCCTTTCCAGGGGAAAACTTGCTCTTTAGGATAGGTTGGATCAAAGACCAATATAAGAAGCAAAAGAAACAGCAGAATTACAATTATCTGGCTTTGGGGATGGCAGAGCAAGGGCTCTGGTATGGTGCCAGAGCCCTGGCACTGCATTCTCTTAATATATATATTCTCTTAATATATATATATTTATGCTTTTATTCCATTACAAGTTTTCATATTCCATTCAATTTACTCACACAATCATAGTCATCAACTTCCCTCCCCCCTTCCAAGGTTCTAGATCTCTACCCATTACAACTGCATATTCCAATGGCTCCTTTGCAGGGGGTTGGACTAGATGACCCTCAGATCCCCTTCCAACTCTACAATTCTTTTGATTCTAATATTCAGCCTCTCCCCACTCTTTCCCTCACACATCTGCTTAAGAAAGCACATGTCTGGGCAGTTTCCCCCTTGCTCCGCTGCTTTCCAAGGGAAAAACTTGCACTTTAGGGATAGGCTGGATCAAAGGTCAATCTGGGGGAAATCTGAATTGCTGCTTGCTCCTCTAACTGAGCACGAAAGAGCAGTTTTGGTGGTGGGCTGGGGGAGTCAAGAGAAAGTGTGGATAAGCCCTTAGACCCATATCTCCCCTCTCCTGCTTCTCACTCACATTCACCCGTTACAAGAGTCATCTGCAGCTTCTCTTCTGTGATAAGCTCCCACAGGAAACCCTGAAAGTGACCTCTGTCTTGCTCCAATGTGCTTTTCCTTATCACAACAATCCTGTTCCGCCTCTTCCCCTTCCTGCCAAGAAGAGTACCTGAGGGCTGATGGGAGAAAGCAAAAGTGCATTGCACTGTGGGGTTTCTCAAGCCTTCTTTCTTATCCAGACCCAAAGCCTTCTGGGAGATGTAGTTTCTTCCAGTGTTTCTCAAATTTGGGTACCCACCCTGCAAAGTCTCATCATTCCTGACCACTGGTCCTGCAAGCAAAGGATTATGGGAGTTGTAGTCCAACAACAACTGGGGACTCAAGTTTGATATACAGTACAGCACAATATAAGGAGATTACAACTAGACTTACGAAAGAACTTTCTGATAATAAGAGCTGTTCAACCGTGGGAACGGTCTCCCTCGGGAGGTTGCAGAATCTCCTTCCTTGGAAGTTTTTAAGCAGAGGTTGGATGGCCATCTGTCATGGATGCGTTAGCTGAGTTTCTTGCATTGCAGGGGGTTGGACTAGATGACCCTCGGGAACCCTTCAAGCCCAAAGATTCTATGACTCTATTAAACAAAAGACGCAAAAGAAATATAATTATCTGGCTAAAGGAAGGCAGAGTGAGGGGCTCTGGGATGCTACCCGAGCCCTTGCACCACTCATTCATTCATTCATATATACATTATAAATAACATTACAAGAGTCGACTGCAGCTTTGTTTCCCAAAACTCCCTAAGGGCACCCTGCAAGCGACCCCCCCATGTGCTTTTCCTTCTCACAACAATCTTGTTCTGCCTCCTCCCCTTTCTTATCCAGACCCAAAGCCTTCTGGGAGATATAGTCTCTTCCAGTATTTATCATACTTAGGTACCCACCCAATCAATGTTAGACTACAAACTCCCATCATTCCTGACCACTGGTCTTGCTAGCTAGGGATGATGGGAGTTGTAGGACAGAGCAAGGGCTCTGGTATGGTGCCAGAGCCCTGGCACTGCATTCTCTTAAAAATATATATATGCTTTTTTCCATTACAAGTTTTCATATTCCATTCAATTTACTCACACAAACATAGTCATCAACTTCCCTCCCCCCCTTCCATGGTTCTAGATATCTACCCATTACAACTGCATATTCCACTGGCTCCATTGCAGGGGGTTAGACTAGATGACCCTCAGATCCCTTTCCAACTACAATTCTTTGATTGTACGATTCAGCCTCTCCCCACTCTTTCCCTCACACCTCCGCTTAGGAAAGCACATGTCTGGGCAGTTTCTCCCTTGCTCCTCTCCTGCAAGCATAGTTTCCCAAACTTGAGTCCCCTGGTGTTTTTGCACTACAGCTCCCAAAAACCTGCTCTTTATGGGTAAGCTGGATCAAAGGCCAATCTGGGGGACATCTGAATGGCTGCTTGCTCCTCTGAGCACGAAAGAGCAGTTTTTATGGGGTACGTGTGGATAAGCCCTTAGACCGGTGTCTTCCCTTTCCGGCTTCTCACCCACATTCACCTGTTACACAATTCAGCTGCAGCTTCTCTTCTGAGATGAGCTCCCAAAGGACACCTTTCAAGCGACCTCCATCCTGCCCCATGTGCAGCCTTCACAGAAAGGCTTTCCCCTCTAAAGTCCTATTGCAAACCCCTTGTTTTTCCTCCTCCACTTCCTGCCCTGATAAGGAGCACTCAGGGGAAAAAGCAAGAGCCCATTGCATTGTGGGGCTTCCCACGCCTGGTGTTCTTTCTTTTCCAGACCCAAAGCCTTCTGGGAGATGTAGTATCTTCCAGTGTTTCTCAATCTTGCTCCTGTTTTTTTGGACTACAATTCCCATAATCCCTGGTCCCTGGTCCTGCAAGCAAAGAATGATGGGAGTTGTAGTCCCAACAACACCTGGGGACTCAAGTTTGATATGCAGTACAATATGATATAAGGAGATTCCAACTAGACGTACAAAATAACTTTCTGATAATAAGAGCTGTTCGACCGTGGGAACGGTCTCCCTCGGGAGGTTGCAGAATCTCCTTCCTTGGAGGTTTTTAAGCAGAGGTTGGATGGCCCTCTGTCATGGATGCTTTAGCTGAGATTCCTGCATTGCAGGGGGTTAGACTAGATGACCCTCGGGACCCCTTCCAGTCGAAAGATTCTATCATTCTATTAAACAAAAGAAGCACAATAAATATAATTATTTGGCTTAAGGAAGGCAGAGTGAGGGGCTCTAGGATGCTACCTGAGCCCTTGCACCACTCACCACTCATTCATATATATGTTATATATAACATTACACAAGTAAGCTGCAGCTTCTCTTCCCAAAACTCCCTAAGGACACCCTGCAAACACCCCCTAATTTTCCTTATCACAACAATCTTGTTCTGCGTCCTCCCCTTCCCACCAAGAAGATTCCTTGAAAAAGAGGGCTGAGGGGAGAAAGCAAAATCCCATTGCATTCTGGGGCTGCCCTGTCCTTGTCTTCCTTCTTATCCAGACCCAAAGCCTTCTGGGAGATGTAGTCTCATCCAGTATTTATCAAACTTAGGCACCCACCCAAACAATGCTAGACTACAAACTCCCATCATTCCTGACCACCGGTCTTGCTAGCTAGGGATGATGGGAGTTGTAGTCCAAAAACACCTCAAGTTTGAGAAACAATGCTTGCAGCTGAGCCCTATGTAAGCTGTCATTTATGGGATCTGGGAGGGTGTTTTTTTTTAAAAAAAAACAACTTATAACTGTAGACTGTTGAAAAACAGATGCTGTATGTTTGTTCAGTTGCATTTTAATTACTTCTTTTATTTCTTATTTTGAATCTTATTTTTATATTTCATTTTATTGCTATTACAATTGGAATTCCATGGCACAAGAAAAGACAATATAAGAGGCCAAAGAAAAAACAAGAATTACAATTACAGTGGTACCTCTGGATGCGAACGGGATCCGTTCCGGAGCCCCATTCACATCCTGAGTAGAACGTAACCCACGACTGTGCATCTGAGCATGTGCGGGTCATATTTTGCCTCTTCTGCACATGCGCGTGACGTCATTTTGAGCGTCTGCGCATGCAAGAGCGGCAAAACCCGGAAGTAATGCATTCCATTACTTCCGGGTTGCTGGGGAGCGTAACCTGAAAACACTCAACCTGAAGCATATTTAACCCGAGGTATGACTATATCTGGCTTCGGGGAGGGCAGAGCAAGGGCTCTGGTTTGGTGCTAGAGCCCTGACACTGTATTCTCTTTTTCAATTTTTTTAAATGTGCTTTTTTCCATTACAAGTTTTCATATTCCATTCAATTTACTCACACAATCATAGTCATCAACTTCCCTCCCCCCCTTCCATGGTTTTCGATATCTACGCATTACAACTGCATATTACAATGGCTCTATTGCAGGGTTTGGATTAGATGGCCCTCAGATCCCTTCCAACTCTACAATTCTTTTGATTCTACAATTCAGCCTCTCCCCACTCTTTTCTTCACACATCCGCTTAGGAAAGTATCCCACTCCTTTCCAAGGGAAAAACCTGCTCTTTAGAGATAGGTTGGATTAAAGGCCAAACTGGAGGAAATCTGAATTGCTGCTTGCTCCTGTAACTGAGCACAATAGAGCCGTTTTGGGGGGTGGGGGATTCAAATGTAAGTGTGGATAAACCCTTAGACCCGTATCTTCCCCTCTCTTGCTTCTCACCCGCATTCACCCGTTACATGAGTCAGATGCAGCTTCTCTTCCGTGATGAGCTCCCAAAGCGACCTGCAGTGCGGGAAATGCTTCTACCAGAGAGCCTGTTGCATTGTGGGACTTCCCACGCCTAGCGGTCTTTCTTATCCAGACCCAAAGCCTTCTGGGGGATGTAGTATCTTCCAGTGTTTCTCAAACTTTCCCCTCCCTGGTTTTTTTGGGACTACAATTCCCACCATCCCTGACCACTGGACCTGCTAGCTAGGGATTATGGGAGTTGTAGTCTAACAACACCTGGACTCAAGTTTGATATACGGTACAATACAATATAAGGAGATTCCAGCTAGACTTACGAAAGAACTTTCTGATAATAAGAGCTGTTCAACCATGGGAATGGTCTCCCTTTGGGAGGTTGCAGAATCTCCTTCCTTGGAAGTTTTAAAGCAGAAGTTTGAGTAAAAATGCTTCGTGTTGAGACCCAGGTAAGCTGCTGTTTATGAGGATCTAGAAGAGTGCTTTTTAAAAAAACTACTTAAAACTGTACTGTTGAAAAACAATTCAAATCACCATAGCACTGGGCAACAAAAAGGAATCAAACCTCTCCAGGATAAAATAAAACACAACAATAAATTGTGTAGATAGGTGGTGTGAGTGGGTGTCTGTGTGGGGTGAGGCTCAAGTACAAAACGTGTGTTCCGTGTTCAAATTAAGGCTTAAAACAGGAGGGCAAAGCTGTGACCACAAACTTTGCTCCTGGCATCATCTGCTCACAGAGGAAGAGAAAGGGGAAGACAGGGTTTGCTTCTGAATCCGGCACTGTAGAAACCTCAGAACAAAGGAACATAGGAATCTGCCTTATCCAGATTCACACATTTGTGTCACTTGAAACCAGATCACATGAAAATTGCTGGTGGCCTTGGAGGACCACTTAATGCCTTTTCCATCTGTTGTAGCAACTGTAATGCTGTGGTAGATGCTGCGTGTTTGTTTAATTGCATTTTTATTTCTTCTTCTATTTCTTCTACTGTATCTTATTTCTCATATTACATTTTATTGGTAATGCAATTGGAATTCCATGGCACAAGGAAAGACAAAGTAAGCAACAAAAGAAGAACTAGCTTCAGGAGGATGGAGGAAGGGCTCTAGTCTGATGCCAGAGCCCTGGCACTGCATTCTCATTCTCTCTCTCTTTCCATTACAAGTTTTCATATTCCGTTCAATTTACTCACGCAGTCATAGTCACTGACTTCCCTTCCCCCCTTTCATGGTTCTAGATATTAGCGCATTACAACTGCATATTCTTATTACTCCATAATTTCCCCTCTCCCTCCGCATTACATCTTCATATACTTTAAACTGCTGAATTTACTCCAACCCTGCTTAACCTGTTTGACACGATTTTTCAGATATTCTGCAAACATTTTTCACTCCTCCTTAAATACTTCACCTTCCTGGTCTCTTCTTCTATAATTCATATTTGCTAATTCCACACGTTCCATCAATTTCATTTGCCATTCCTCCTTCGTTGGCCGTTGTTCCCTCTGTCCATTTCCGAGCATATATCATTTGGGCTGCTGTGATTGCGTCAAGTAACAAATCATTTTGATCTGTGAGGACATCGTAATATTCCTAATAAGGAGATTTCTGGTCTTTTTATATAAGTCCTTTAAAACACCCCCCTCCATTTCATTATATATCATCTATATTGTTACAGATCATCTCCCATAAATCCTTTGCTGATTTACATGTCCACCACATATGATGAAATGTACCCTCCATTTCTTGATACACCAGAAATACAATTAAAATCAATATTTCATACAAACCACCACAGACCACAGTTTGGGAACCCTTGTACTAGAGTTTGGGGTCCGCCCGCAAAAATGGGCCTGTTTAAACAATATGCTCCTAAAGATCAATGGTGCTGTGATTTTCAAGTACAGTGGTGCCTCGCAAGACAAAATTAATTCATTCCGCGAGTTTTGTCGTCTTGTGATTTTTTCGTCTTGCGAAGCACGGTGTCGGGAAAGTTTTGGAAAAGCTTCAAAAATCACCAAAGTCTTCAAAAACCTCAAAAAAGGCTACCACACCGCGTGTTATGAGTTGCTCCTCGAAGTCAAGTCGCAACTGTATTAACGGTGTTAAGAAAAAGGAAACAAACTTGCAAGATGTTTCCGTCTTGCGAAGCAAGCCCATAGGGAAAATCGTCTTGCGAAGCAGCTCAAAAAACAAAAAACCCTTTCGTTTTGCGAGTTTTCCGTCTTGCGAGGCATTCGTCTTGCGAGGTACCACTGTACTAAACTAAACTTGGTGCACATGCATTATGGGCTTGAGACTGGAGGGCAAAGCGGAAGTCATAGAATCATAGAGTTGGAAGAGACCACAAGGGCCATCGAGTCCAACCCCCTGCCAAGCAGGAAACACCAGTCAGTCTGGTCAGAAATGTTTCCTCCTGGCATTATCTGTTGGGGGAGAGAGACAGAGAGAAGAGAAAGCAGGGTTTACTCCTGAACTTGGTGCAAAAGGAACCTCAGCAATACAGTCTGAACGGAGGTCAGGATTTGTTATCTGAAATAAGCTTTCTTCCTCGGGTGACAATAAAACGTTCTTGTTAAGCAGGGATGTTTTGCTTGGTGTATGGGCAGCTGGTGAAAGAACTGAGGATTATTTACTGAGGTTTTAAATAATTTATAATGGCTCCTTTTCCTGATTTTATTCTCTTGTGCTGTATTCCACTTGAAGATGAGTGCCTTTTCCACAATTAAATTCTGGACATTTCCTTGAAGCTCATTTGAGATAATTTATTAAGGAACAAAATGCCATCGCACCAACCGGCTGTTAGAACAAACCAAACCAAAACTAAACATCACACACAAACAAACACAGGGCTGAGCGGAATACAGTACATCTTCAATTCATTACGGTGTCACTCACCCAGGCTTTCCCACAGTAGGGTAGGCATGTGTGTGTGAGAGAGAGAAAGAGAGAGAGAGAGAAAGAGAGAAAGAGAGAGAGATAGGATGGTGTAAGCCAGAGGTCAGCAACCTAAGGCCCATGGGTTCCAGCCCATGAGCTTCCTAGAACCGGCCCATGGCTGTTCCATGGATTGGCGTGGGGATTCCATGCTTTATTCCATGCTTTTTTCCCCCACGGCACCATTTTTTTTCTCGCTGTGAAATAGCATGTGAGCATGCACACGGGTGTTCCTCCATCCTGGAAGTGCACCAGAAAAAGCGTGTGTGCACGCATATGGGAGTGCCGGCACACTCTATTTCCGGCGCACTTCCAGGACAGAGGAACGCCCATGCGTATATGCACACGCTATTTCCAGCGCTCTTCTGACCTGGAAGAGCGCCGGAAATAGCTTGAACGTACGCACGAGCACGCTCTGGCCCACTGAGAGGTCTGCTGGGGAGTGGACCAGCCCCGCCTCAAAAAACGTTGCTGACCCCTGGTGTAAGCAGATGTCACCTGATGGAACAGCTTTTAGTTTTTGTAAGAATTGGAATATCTGTTCTCAGTGCTTTTTTTCTTTTAAAAAAATGTATAGGGGTACTCTCATTTTGACTCAGGAAAACCACGATTTTATAGTTCAAATCAGAGGAAATGAATACAGTAAATGGGCAAAAGTACAAAGATTCACAAAAAGTTTAGGGGTATGTATACCCCTGCGTCCCCCCAGAGAAAAAGGACTGTGTGTTCTTGTCCAGAACCAAAGAACAACGCCGATTCAAAGGCAGAATTCAGAAGCACGGTACAGCTAATGAGGAAAGACAATGATATAGTGACAAAAATCAGGACAACACGAATACAACAATCTGGGACAGGCTTCCCCCAACATTGAAAGAGGCAGGCCTAATCTGAGACAGTTACTGGATGCCTTTAAGGGCTTCTCCAGATGTCCTTAAAGGACCTTCATGAGAAAGGACCTTTAGCTACAAAGGCCTTGTCCCTCCTCTGTTCTGCTTGTCTAAGGAAAAGTTTGGATGAAGGCAGGAGGGAGAGGACCTCAACACCTGCGAATTAGGTGAAAAGGGAGGCATGGGGAATAACCGTTTTAAGCAAGCTGCTAGTTTCTGACCACAATTGTATATTTTTATGCATTGCAGTTGGAACTGTCTGCTTTGTAGCTTTTTGCGGCCCTGGTTTTGACAGCATTTTAAAATGCCGGCTGGTTTGCTTTTGATCCGCAGGGGAGACCCTCTGCCTGATTGATCACGTCCCTCCAACATAATCACCTTCCTTCGATCAACATGGGCTCTTGAACTTAACCCTAACCACAGCGTGGACTCGTTTCCTTCCGCAGATGTATTGGGGGAGAGGGGAGCGGACACAACCTGCTTTCAGTACTGCTCGCACCTGAAAAAGGGCAAACTGCTTTGCTCCCATTTTGCACAGGCACCTAGAGCTTCCTGCTGAAATCCGGTAACTGTCGAGTGAGGGGTTGCCCTGCGTTGGTTCACCATAATGCAAAATCTTGTGTCCCCAACCCCACACCAAGGTATCTGGTCAGCCACTGTGAAAACAGGATGCTGGACTAGATTTTGTGCAAATAAAAGATAACGGAAGAGGAGATTGTGGGAGAGATACCTGATGTGAGGGAGGGGGATGACAGCAGGAGAAATACGTCTATACTTTACACATCCAACCTGCAAATGTCTACGTCCTAAGTGACATTTTACACTTATTTTCAGCTGCTTTTGGTTTTAATGTGAAAAGGAGTTCTGTCCCATGGGGAGGAATCCAGGGCGCCATACATCTCGAAGGGCCAGAGGGCCCCGAACTCAGCAGGGATGGCTCACTGTGTTTTGAAGGAAATTCACGTTCCCATCTAAGAAATGGAGGAGGGCCAAAGTTACTTCACGGCACCACTGAGGAAAAGCTGCCCCTTGTTCCAAGCTGCTTCAGAAAGGGCTCTTTTCTGTGTGGATTCTCCGATGTGTAAGAATGTTCTCCCAACCAACCAAGAGGATTTGAATGGCGACTGTCATCACCTCAATGCCTCAATTTCAGGAGTAGACAGCAGGCCTGGTTTGATCCAGCAAGACTCTGTTTCTCTCTTCTGTATTTATCCTTATATTTGGTAAGCCCCAAATTACAGCAGAAACCTTCTCCAACATCGGTCTCGAATAATATTTAAACGTGATGCATTTTGCCCAAAACTTATTACACTTTAGGAGCAGGGTTTTGTTTTTTTTAAAAAGAGGAAACATTCATAAGGTGTCAAGCCCTGCGTGGGTTTTCTGATGATGCATGAGCTTATCTTTCTGGGGGAAGGTTTTTTGGCACTCTGAGCATTCGTGCGGTTTTGATTCCGCATGGGTTCTCTGGTGTCTTACCAGCTTCTCCTTCTGGAAGAAGCTTTTCCCACACTCAGAACACGCGAATGGCTTCTCCCCCGTGTGGATCCGCTGGTGCCGGATCAACTGGGCACTCTGGCAGAAGCTTTTCCCGCACTCGGGGCACCCGTAAGGCTTCTCTCCTGTGTGCATCCGCAGGTGAATGTCAAGGTATGACTTCCTGCTGAAGTTTTTCCCGCACTGAAGGCACTCGTAAGGCTTCTCTCCCGTGTGCATCCTCTGGTGCCGGATCAGCTGACCTCTCTGGCAGAAACATTTCCCACACTGTAGGCAAGCGTAGGGCTTCTCTCCCGTGTGGATTCTCTGGTGTCGGATCAGCTGCCCGCTCTGGCAGAAGCTCTTCCCGCACTGTGGACACTCGTAAGGCTTCTCGCCCGTGTGGATTCTCTGGTGGGTGACGAGCGAGGACTTGTTGCTGAAGCTCTTCGCACAGTGCAGACACTCGTACGGCTTCTCGCCCGTGTGGATTCTCTGGTGGGTGATAAGATGTGACCGCGTGCTGAAGCTCTTCCCGCACTGCGGGCACTCGTAAGGCCTCTCCCCCAAGTGGATTCTCTGGTGTGCAAGAAGGTTCTCCCTCTGGCAGAAGCTCTTCCCGCACTCAAGGCACTCGTAGGGCCTCTCAGCTGTGTGGATCATCTGGTGCACGATGAGCCCCGATTGGTGCTCGAACGCCTGCCCGCATTTGCGGCACATGTGGCACTCCTCTCCTGCGCGGACCGCGTCGCCGTTATCAGCCACGGCGGTTTCCACCTCCTGAATGGAGATGCCCCACATCTTCACGGCCCGCTGCCACTGCTGCCTGTCGGACTTGTAGCCCTGATCGAAGGCTTCGGACTTCACAGAAACGTCCCTGAGGGAAACCCCCGGGAACCTCCCGTCAGAACTGGTTGACCTAGGGCCTTCTTGATGCGTCCCGCCCATCTCGCTCTCACTGGCAGTGCCGTCGCCTGAAGAGATTAGAGAGACAAGAAAACACAGGCCGAGATATCACTCCATCTGATAGGAGAGGATGAAAACAGAAGGTACCATGGAGGCAGAACAATGGACTCCATCCTACCACTCCAAAACAAAGGTGGCAAGAGTTTTGAGGTGATAGGATGAAGACCATTGCATCTGACTGGAATATTTCTTCTCAAACTCTGAGGTTTGGGTTGTGAGTGTTGCTGCTTTTTAAGACAAAACAGCACCATTTACACACAAGATATTAGGCTCAGGGGAACTGCAAGGTTTAGTGAGGTGTAGACACACAGAGAGAAAACTTTAGAAATAATAATAATTTATTTATACCCCAGCCACACTGGGCGGCTGCCAATCAAGTGTTAAAAACAATACAGCATTAAATATTAAAAACTTCCCTAAACAGGGCTGCCTTCAGATGTCTTTTAAAGATAAGATTATTTCCTTATTTCCTTTAAAGATAAGACTTATTTCCTTCACATCTGAAGGGAGGGCATTCCACAGGGCGGGTGCCACAGAAAAGGCCCTCTGCCTGGTTCCCTGTAACCTCGCTTCTCGCAGCGAGGGAACCGCCAGAAGGCCCTCGGCGCTGGATCTCAGTGTCCAGGCAGAACGATGGGAGTGGAGACGCTCCTTCAGGTATACTGGGCCGAGGCCGTTTAGGGCTTTAAAGGTCAGCACCAACACTTTGAATTGTGCTCGGAAACGTACTGGGAGAAAAACAACCCAGAGGAGGCACTAACTAACCCAACAAACACTCCCTGAGCTGTGGCACTCCTTCCTTTTGAATACTTACTTTCACAGTACTCGGCTGCCAGGAAAATGTCATCCTGAGATCCCCCTGGGAAAACGTGGGGCGTGTCTTCCAGATGTGGGGTCCCTTCTCCCGGAGGAGGTTCTTCTTTGATCTCATTTGCAGCTGTGACGCAGGGAAAGAGAAAGACCAGGAGGGAAATAGGAGTCCCTCTTTCAGAAAAGGGTTCTAGACTGCGCACAACCTATACTGTAGTGGAAACACCAGAAAATATATTGTAACCCTGGCTGGATCTAGAGACATCAAAGAAGCGTTTCGGTTAAACGTATTATAAACTCACACAGGGAAATTGGGTTGGGAAAGTCGGGACTCCACAAAGTCATCTGGTGTCACAGTGTTATACTGCATATACAACACATATAAAAGGCATTTTTCTTTACCAATTCAGCTGAGTCCCCAGGGTTTCCCAAACGTGGATGTCCTGTTGTTTTGGACTACAACTCCCATCACCCCTAGCTAGCAGGTTCCGTGGTCAGGGGTGATGGGAATTGTAGTCCCAAAACAACAGGAGATCCACATTTGGGAAACACTGTTGTAACCTGGGGAGGTGTCAGTGGCCTGGCACAACTGTTTCTGAAGGCAACCTTATTTAGGGAAGTTTTTTAACGTCTGATGTTTTATGATGTTTTTAATATTCTGTTGGGAGACGCCCAGAGTGGCTGAGGAAGCCCAGCCAGATGGGGTATAAATAATAAATTGTGATGTTGATGATGTCCACCATTGTGTGTGGCCTTTCACAGAAGTAGGCCTTCACTGCTCTCCTAAGCCTGGTAGTGGGTAACGCTGAATTGTGTTGACTGTCTGCTTTCCAAGCCTCAATTCCTAATTCATGGGATTGTTCCCTGTACTGCAGGGAGGATCCCAATATCCTGTTTGCCTGCCAGCCCAGATCACGAGATCCCTGGTGCCCAGTGCAGGTAATTTAGCAATTGCACCTCATGGATATAAGTCCTAGCATTTGACCTAGAGAGTTGAGCTTTGGCGCAGGCCGGAAGGCTGCCATCGGATTTTCTGCAACCCGTTGGCCAGCTGGAGGTCTCTCTGTCTCTTTGCAGCTGAAGGGAGGTGTTGCCATCGGCTTGCTTGGTACGTTGATACTCTTGCAAATGATTTGGCTGCTGTTTAATAAATCTTAAGACTTCTTCACCATTTACATCACACATTTACTTCTGAACCCTTGGGGGGGAAAGAAACCCCTTGCCTTTGGCAAGACTTTCAAAGCACATTATTTCCCTCAAAATGTGAGGGGTCAATAGAAGAAGAAGAAGAAGAAGAAGAAGAAGAAGAAGAAGAAGAAGAGGAGGAGGAGGAGGAGGAGGAGGAGTTTGGATTTGATATCCTGCCTTTCACTCCCTTTAAGGAGTCTCAAAGCAGCTAACATTCTCCTTTCCCTTCCTCCCCCACAACAAACACTCTGTGAGGTGAGTGGGGCTGAGAGACTTCAGAGAAGTGTGACTGGCCCAAGGTCACCCAGCAGCTGCATGTGGAGGAGCGGAGACGCGAACCCCGTTCCCCAGATTACGAGACTACCGCTCTCAACCACTACACCACACTGGCTCCTAGCAGTACCCAGAATTCTTCAAAAGAAATAATGTGCTTCTAATATGCTTTAATAGGTCCAGCGCTGAGGGCCTTCTGGCGGCTCCCTCACTGCAAGAAGTGAGGTTACAGGGAACCAGGCAGAGGGCCTTCTCAGTGGTGGCACCTGCCCTGTGGGACACCCTCCCATCAGATGTCAAGGAAATAAGCAACTATCTTACTTTTAAAAGGCATCTGAAGGCAGCCCTGTTTAGGAAAGTTTGTAATGTTTAATGCTGTATTGTGGTTTTAATATTTGGTTGGAAGCCGCCCAGAGTGGCTAGGGAAACCCAGCCAGATGGGTGGAGTATAAATAATAAGTTGTTGTTGTTGTTATTATTATTATTATTATTACCCCTCCAGACACTGCTGATCTGCAACTCCCATCAGCCCCAGCGAGCATGCTGAATGGCGGGGTTTGATGGGAGTTGTAGTTCAGCAACCTCTGAAAAGCCAAAGGTTTCCCTGGTCCAGTCCTCTTGTCAAAGCCATCCAGAGTCTTTGGCCATCATTGCCTCTTGTGGGAACAAATTGTTCCCTTTTGTATTATTATTATTCATTATTATCATTATTTATTATTATGCATACACAGCGCAGGGTCAAATGTAAAAACAATGAGTCTTGAGGGGATCATCTTCCTGCACTCTTTAGTACAGTAGTACCTCGGGTTACATACGCTTCAGGTTACAGACTCCACTAACCCAGAAATATTGCTTCGGGTTAAGAACTTTGCTCCAGGACAAGAACAGAAATCGTGCTCCGGCAGCGCAGCAGCAGCAGCAGCGGCAGCAGGAGGCCCCATTAGCTAAAGTGGTGCTTCAGGTTAAGAACAGTTTCAGGTTAAGAACGGACCTCCGGAACAAATAAAGTATGTAACCTGAGGTATCACTGTATATGCATTTTTTTTGTACACCTTACTTGGTCGGAGAACTCCACTGCAAAATTTGGGGAGGTGCAAATTTAGAAAGATATCTGTGTTTCAGTTTATGTATTGCTTCAGAAAGGACGAGTGAATATAATTTCTCCCTCATCCCTAGCTCTGTCACTGAACTACAGGGGATTCCTCAAAGGCCTAGGAACAGGGGAAGATACCCTATGTGAATTAGACCATTTGGCCATCCAGTTCAGTAATGCCAACTCTGACTGGCAGCAATCCAGTGTCACAGGCAGAGGCCTTTTTCTAGTCCTGCTTCTTGGGATACTTTGAGTGGAGATGGACCTGCGTTACTCTGTATGCTTATCATCACGGAGCTATGTCTCACTCACAGAACCAAAAGGGTACAGTCACTCCAATCACCTGGGCAGGAGCCCCAGACAACTCCACAGGCTCCATTTGTTTGCACTGAAAGATGTGCTTGGGTTGTTTTGGTGATGGCAGATACAGTTCAGAGTGAGAACATCACTTCCAAAATCAGCCAAAACAATTTTTGAACTCTTTGGAATTATCAAATAACTCCTCAAACTGTTTGGGTGTACCTTTGAAATATAAATATTATTTCGATTTATATATAGTGCACATGAGAATAAATTTTGACAACCTCACCAGCCCTTAAATGTAAAGGGACCCCTGACCAGGTTTTGGATCCTTTCAGCAGGAGCAAAATAAGAGTCCTTCTCTAATGTGTACACAATGGAATAAGCCACACGTGCTTATTTAGCCATCTGCCTCTTCTAACTAAAGCAACCAGGAGGAGGGCGGGTTCAAATTTTAACATCAAATGCAGCTTGTAGAGAATTCTGCACAATTTTGCTTTCAGGGATTCCCTGAAATGAAAGAAAGGGTGGGGGGAGATGCCTCCTGATGGAAGGTAAGTCTGTCTAAAGAGGGGTAAAGGTAAAAGGGACCCCGGACCATTAGGTCCAGTCATAGCCGACTCTGGGGTTGCGGTGCTCATCTCGCTTTATTTGGCCGAGGGAGCTGGCATACAGCTTCCGGGTCATGTGGCCAGCAATGACTAAGCCGCTTCTGGCGAACCAGAGCAGCACACGGAAACGCCATTTACCTTCCCGCCGGAGCGGTACCTATTTATCTACTTGCACTTTGATGTGCTTTTGAACTGCTAGGTTGGCAGGAGCAGGGACCGAGCAACGGGAGCTCACCCTGTAGCGGGGATTCGAACTGCCGACCTTTTGATCAGCAAGCCCTAGGCTCTGTGGTTTAGACCACAGAGGGGATTATAGATTTTAAAGGCATGAATGGTCCCATCACACAGGTGAGCAGTTACCTGCAAAACCTCCTTTTCCTGTTTCCTCAGGGTCTTGAGTGAATAAATCTTCCTTTCCTTCCGGCCAGGGAACGGCGTCTGGTTTGGGAATCAAAAGTCCTTTACAGAAGGGAAGAAAACACAGGAAGTTAAGGAGTGATTTCTGTCATCTCAAGTCATCTAAGCTAGAAAAACGTGTCCCTGACCTGCTACTTTCTATCTACGGGGAAATATTTCCCTGTTTTTTAAAAAGATGAAGGAACACTTAAAAACATGCCACTGCAGAGCTGCAATTCCCAGAGTAGCTTAACAATATGTCCCTCTCTACCAGGGAATTCTGGGACTTGTAGCTCTGTGAGGGGAATAATAATTTTATTATTTATATGCAGCTCATCTGACTATATACCAAAACCCTCCAACGGTCTCCTATCTTTCAGTATATGTTGGAGGACAGAGTGGAAAGCTGAGCAGAAGGGGAAATCAAATGAGAGAAAAAAGGGTGCAACCGGCCAGAATTCCAAACTGAAGTCTACTCTGCTGCAACATTTTATCGCAGGTTCTACTTGTAAAGCTAAGAAACGGAAGGGACATACAGTCATACCTTGGTTTTCAAACAGCTTTCTTCTTGAGCGTTTTGGCTCCCAAACGCCGCAAACCTGGAAGTGAGTGTTCCGGTTTGCGAACTATTTTTAGAAGCCGGACGTCCGACGGGGCTTCCGCAGCTTCCAATTGGCAGCAGGAGCTTCCTGCAGCCAATCAAAAGCCGCGCTTTGTTTCCAAACGTTTTGGAAGTCGAACGGACATTCCGGAATGGATTCCGTTCGACTTCCAATGTACAACTATACTAGAGTCAATTGTATTTTTAAAGAGGAGACTATCCCTCATAAATGGTCATGGAAGACACAAGCTGCTCTCCCCCCCCTTGCTCCCTTCAGGCTACTTCAGAGGAGATTCTTACCCAATGAGGCCATATTCCCATAATTCTCCAACGTGACCTCCTTGTACAGAACTCTTTGGTCCGGATCCAGCAAGGCCCATTCTTCCTCTGCAAAGTAAACCGCCACCTCCTCAAAGGCCAACGGTCCCTGAAATGAGGAAAATGTTGCTTCCTCAACGCTTGCTGTCTATATTATTATTTATTGCCTTTATATCCCCCCAGGAGCTCAATCGGATGTAATTGGTTCACACTCCCCCCCAGCTCATCTCCTGTTGTTATCATATAATTATAGAGTTGGAAGGGGATCCCAAGGGTCATCTAGTCCAACCCCCGGCAATAGAGGGGGGTCATCACCTCAACAACCCTGTAAGGTGGGTTAGGCTAAGAGACAGTGACAGGCCCAAGGTCACCCAGTGAGGTTCATGGCTGGGATTACCCAGGTTGTAGTCTGTCACTCTAACCCAGGGGTCAGCAAACATTTTCAGCCACTGCCCCTCAGACCTTGTGGGGGGCCAGGCTATATTTTGAAAGGAAAAAAATGAACGCATTCCTATGCCCCACAAATAACCCAGAGATGCATTTTAAATACAGTGGCACTTCGGGTTACAGACGCTTCAGGTTACAGACTCCGCTAACCCAGAAATAGTACCTCAGGATAAGAACTTCGCTTCAGGATGAGAACAGGAATTGCGCAGTGGCAGTGGGAGGCCCCATTAACTAAAGTGGTACCTCAGGTTAAGAGCAGTTTCAGATTAAGAACGGGCCTCCAGAACGAATTAAGTTCTTAACCAGAGGTACCACTGTAAAAGCACACATTCTACTCGTGTAAAAACACCAGGCAGGCCCCACAAATAACCCAGAGATGCATTTTAAATACAGTGGTGCCCTGCAAGACGAATGCCTCGCAAGACGAAAAACTCGCTAGACGCAAGGGTTTTTCGTTTTTTGAGGTGCTTCGCAAAACAAATTTCCCTATGGGCTTGCTTCGCAAGATGAAACGTCTTGCGAGTTCTTGCGAGTTTGTTTCCTTTTTCTTAAAGCGGCTAAGCCGTTAATAGCCGCTAAGCCGCTAATAGCCGTGCTTCGCAAGACAAAAAAACCGCAAGACGAAGAGACTCGCGGAACGGATTAATTTCGTCTTGCGAGACACGACTGTAAAAGGGCACATTCTACTCATGTAAAAACACGCTGATTCCTGGACCATCCGTGGGCCGGATTTAGAAGACGATTGGGCTGGATCTGGCCCCTGGGCCTTAGTTTGCCTACCCATGCTCTAACTACTATACCACAACTATTTTTCCAGGAAGGATACAAGAATTCTCCTCGTTAGTTTACAAGATAGGTGGGGAACCTGTTTCGACCCAATGGAACGGACCCTTATTAATCTCCTCCCCGCGAAATTGGCCAACTTTGACAGGAGGGTGGGGCAACCCATCTGATGTCATTGTGATGTCGGGGGGTTGACAGGTGGGTTGTCCCGCCCGCCCGCCAGTCCAAGACCCTTGGCACGGCTCCTCCCAAGCTCCTGGCAGTCAGCTGGGAACTGCAGTGCCAAGGGACTTTGCCAGTCCTCTGCTGGGGGCTTCCCAGGCGCTGAGCGCAGAGTTGGAAAGAATCAGATCCTGGGGGAACTTGGGACCTGAGCACAACAACATCCTCCCCTCCTGTGTTTTCCCGGAATTGATATTTAGAAGGATTCCTACAGTGGAGTTCTCAGGATGCTGTCAGTGGCTCCCAGCTGGTTGCCCAGGAAAGTATAAAGATGAGGAAAAGTTTCTTACCGTCCTTTTTTATTTCAATATTACAGAGAGAGGCTATAGAACCCAGCCTCTGTGATTATGGCATTGTCCTAAGTGAATCTCCATCCCCCCGTCTCTCCCACTTCCTTTTTTTTTAAATTTAAATTATTTTATTGGTTTTCATATATTACTTTACAATACAGATATACCAAAGCCAACACCACTTCCTCCCCATCCCCCCATACATTTACATTTCTATTTCCTCAATCCATCATATTCTTTTCTCCTTCCTCCCACTTCCCTCCGCCCCCACTCGATTTCCTCCACATTATACAATTTACAATAATCTTTGCATTCTACAACCTTCTCAAATCATCTACATATTCTTATTATCTTTCCTTACTAATTATTCTTCCATCCAGTACTTCACATTTTAATCTAGGCATATTAGCATATCTTTTTTTGAGCAATATTTTGCCATATATTCATCAAAACCTTTCCACTCCTTTTTTAATTTTTGATTCGACTGATTTCTTATTATAGCAGTTAATTTTGCCAGAATTAAATATTCATGTAGTTTACAAATCCATTCCTCCTTTGTGGGTATAGTTTTTGACTTCCACCTAGAAGTCTCTCCCACTTCCTTGTTTCTCATTCTCATCATCTCCTCCATAGGTGCTGCTATGTGCTTTTCAGCTCGTTGCTCTCCTACTTCTAAGGCTCACCGGGTTCTGGGAGATGGAGGTTCTGGGATGCTTTCTAATGACACCATGTCAGGATAGGGAGGCGGTCTCCACCATTCCTCCTCTGCCCAGTCCCTGACAGGAGGCAGAGCATGGCATCAGAGTTAGTAAGACACTTTGAGATTTGTTTTACTGCAAAGTGATAAATAAATGCAATACAGGGGTATCTCTGGATGCGAACGGGATCCGTTCCGGAGCCCCGTTCACATCCTGAAGCAAACACAATCCATGTCTGCGCGTGCACGAGTTGCAATTCGCCGCTTCCACTCATGCGCGTGACATCATTTTGAGCGTCTGCGCATGCGGCAAAACCCAGAAGTAACGTGCTCTGTTACTTCTGGGTCGCCGCGGAGCGCAACCCAAAAATGCTTAACCTGAAGCTACTTCAACCCGAGGTATGACTATAGAGTCGTACCTTGGATCCCGAATGCCTTGGAACTCGGACGTTTTGGCTCCCGGACACTACAAAACCGGAAGTGAGTGTACCGGTTTGCAAATGTTCTTTGGAAGCCGAACGTCCGATGGGGCTTCCGGGGCTTCTGGTTAGCTGCAAGAGCTTCCTGCAGCCAATCAGAAGCTGCAATTTGGTTTCCAAACGTTTTGGAAGTCGAACGGATTCCGTTTGTTTTCCAAGGTACAAACCAGAAAAAAGCGTGCGCATCCAACATCCGGCAAATTCTCAACCACATGGCAAACCACCTCAACTACATCTCTATTCCCTCTTCCTCGCCTTCCCTCCCCAACCTCTGCAACTCCCATGTTGAGGCCTCACCTGAGTTGGCTCTGGAGCAGGATGAAGAGATGATCCACAGGAAATCAGAGGCCGCGCCCCACTGGCTACAAGGCGGGAAGGGATGGGAGAAGCAAAATGGGAGACAGGCCACCATTATGTTCGTTTCATTTATTCAAAACATTTCTCAGGTCTCCACTCTTCTAATTCTACAATTATATTATTCTATTATTGTTTAAGGGACGCGGGTGGCGCTGTGGGTTAAACCACAGAGCCTAGGACTTGGCGATCAGATGGTCAGCGGTTCGAATCCCCACGACGGGGTGAACTCCCGTTGCTCGATCCCTGCACCTGCCAACCTAGCAGTTCGAAAGCACGTCAAAGTGCAAGTAGATAAATAGGTATCGCTCTGGCGGGAAGGTAAACGGTGTTTCCGTGCACTGCTCTGGTTCGCCAGAAGCGGCTTAGTCATGCTGGCCACATGACCTGGAAGCCAATAAAGCGAGATGAGCGACGCAACCCCAGAGTCGGCCACGACTGGACCTAATGGTCAGGGGTCCCTTTACCTTTTTATTATTGTAAAACCGCTCTGGGAATTGTGGCTCTGGGAACAGAATAGGGGTCTTCCCAGGATCCTTTGGGGGAAGCCGTGATGGTATGAATCAGCATTAAATGTAGGTTGTTTATGTTTAATGTTATACACATATACCTAGGTCTATGCCCCCTTGAATTCGTGACTGAAGGAAACAAAACCTTTGTAAACAAGCTGCTTTTGTAAAGTCTCATCCATCCCATAACTCCTTACCAAGCAGACTGGCATCTTCATTCTCCTCCTCCTCCTTGCATAAAGGTCCTGGCTGAATACCCAAAGGTGAGAGGAGACCCAGAGCAGTCTCCCTTTTTTCCTCCTCAGGTACCTGGAGCAACAGAGAGGACATAAGAGCATCAGAAGAGTATTTTGGATCAGACCAGTTGGCCCATCTAGTCCAGCACTCTGTTCTTACTAGATGCCTGTGGGGAAGGACACCCTTGTTCAGGGCAGAGTGACAGAAGTTAGAAGGAGCACCAAAAGGAAACAGTGCTATTCTAGCCAGGAGTGGGGAAGCCTTTAAGTACCTCCGGATGTTGCTGGACTACAACTCCCATCATCCCAGACCATTGACCATGCTAGCTGCAAAGGCTGATGGGAGTTAGAGTCCATCAACATCCAGAAGGCACAGGACTGGCAAAGTTTGTTTTAGAGGAGTGGGACTGTTGATAATAAATGGGCAGCCAGAAAATGTCATGAGCATTGAGTGAGCAGGATCCCATTTAATGGGTTTTGATGTTTTGCTTGAATTGTTTAATTTGGCAGTTTGATGGCCTCTTGTATACAGTGGTACCTCGGGTTACAGACGCTTCAGGTTACAGACTCCGCTAACCCAGAAATAGTACCTTGGGTTAAGAACTTTGCTTCAGGATGAGAACAGAAATCACGCTGAGTGGCAGCAGCGGGAGGCCCCATTAGCTAAAGTGAAGCTTCAGGTTAAGAACAGTTTCAGGTTAAGAACAGACCTCCGGAATGAATTAAGTTCTTAACCTGAGGTACCACTGTACTGCTCTGCAAAAGAAAGAAAGAAATTTAAAAAATAATGATAAGTGCCCCTTCGGGTATTTGGTGGCCTCACCTTCCGTTCCCATCCCTGAGGCTCATCCTCTTCCTGGCTCAGCAGGAAGTCCTCTGCCAGGGCCACCGCTTCAGCACAGCTCTCTGCGCCCCCTGCCTTGACCCAGCCCTGCATTTCCTGAGGCAGGACGGCCAAGAACTGCTCCAGGACCAGCATCTCAACCATCTGCTCCTTGGTGTGCTTCTCCGGCTTCAGCCACTGACAGCACAGCTCCCGGAGCCGCCTGCAAATCTCTCGGGGTCCCTCCATCTCCCGGTAGCAGAAATGTCTGAAGCGTTTACGCTGGATTTCGGCGCTAATGTCACCCGGGACAGTTCCCCTTTCCACCTTGGCATCTCCCCTCCCTCCGGCATGCAGGCTCTTTGGGGCTTCCACGTTGAGATCTGGCGAGATTTGCGTCAACCTCTGCGCTCTAGGACACTGGTCACTTTGGGCTCCCTCTCCGATGGAGACCTTATCGCCCCATCGAAGCTGCGGATTATGCCATCCTGCTTGAGGCAGCTGCAGGCCCCTCAAAAAGTCATGCCACTGGATTTCCCAGTGTTGGGCCAAACCTTCCTCGGGTTCCTGTTTAATCTGTAGCAGTGGCGGACCTTTGGAAAAGCCTTGGGCCGTCCCAGCTTGCACAAAATGGCGGCCTTTGTCTCCTTGTTCTTCTCCAGTTGAATAATCTGCTGCTTCTGCCTCTTCCAGTTTAATTCCTGCAGGCAACTCGTGAGTGAATAAAGGCTGAAATTGGAAGCCTACGGTTGCCATCCCTGACCCTCCAGACATCGAAGAGGCCTCTTTCTCTTTCGCCTCAACGGAGCTGGATCTACAGATTTGCTTCCGTGCCTCTTAACTAGAGGGAGGCTGCTTTGGCCCTGTAAAACACAAAATCTTTAGGAAAGGGCGCAGTGCTAGATCTTTAGAGGATAGAGACAGGTCACCCAGAAGGTGGATTCATTCTCAAGTCAGGGGACAGGCTTCTCCCTAAAGAAAAGAAGACATAAGCATATCGGATGAAGAGTTCTGCTGGATCAGACCTGTCTTGTCCACCATCTTGGAAAATGCTACCTCCCTGGGCTGGATGTAACTAGGAAGGCAGGCAGGTTGAGTCAGTCAGAGGTTGGTGGGGCAGTCCCCCATTTGCCCTAGGGCCTCAAGGACCAGCCTCCATTGCTCTTTCTTCTATATACAGCTATTAAAGGCGCAGGACCCCTGCCCTCTTTTTCATCTGACTACCCCTCTTTAGAGGGATGTGGGTGGCACTGTGGGTTAAACCACAGAGCCTAAGACTTGCCAATCAGAAGGTTGGCGGCTCAAATCCCCATAATGGGGAGAGCTCCCGTTGCCCGGTCCCTGCTCCTGCCAACCTAGCAGTTCGAAAGCACGTTCAAGTGCAAGTAGATAAATAGGTACCACTCCGGCGGGAAGGTAAATGGCGTTTCCGTGTGCTGCTCTGGTTCGCCAGAAGCGGCTTAGTCATGCTGGCCACATGACCCGGAAGCTGTATGCCAGCTCCCTCGGCCAATAAAGCGAGATGAGCGCCGCAACCCCAGAGTCGGCTATGACTGGACCTAATGGTCCGGGGGTCCCTTTACCTTTACCCCTCTTTAGACAGACTTACCTTCCATCAGGAGGCATCTCCCCCACCCTTTCTTTCATTTCAGGGAATCCCTGAAAGCAAAATTGTGCAGAATTCCCTACAAGCTGCATTTGATGTTAAAATTTGAACCCGCCCTCCTCCTGGTTGCTTTAGTTAGAAGGGGCAGATGGCTAAATAAGCACGTGTGGCTTATTCCATTGTGTACACATTAGAGAAGACTCTTATTTTGCTCCTGCTGAAAGGATCCAAAACCTGGGATAGCTCAGTCGGTAGAGCATGAGACCCTTAATCTCAGGGTTGTGGGTTTGAGCCCCATGTTGTGCAAAAAATTATAATCCTGCATTGCAGGGAGTTGGACAAGACAACACTTGAGGTTCCTTCTAATTTTATAATTCAGCAACTCAGACCCTTACAACCATCCCTGACAACACCCCCACAAAAAAATTCCTGCCAGAATTGTAGAAACACCATTAGGTCTCCATCTTCCTTCCCTCTGTCATGTTCCTGAGCAGCATGAGAGACACAGAAATTAAGCAAAGGGACATTTTTTCCTGACACCCTCCCCTAAATTTTGCCTTCTAATGTGTGTGAATATTATTGCTGCCACCTTTCCACGCCGTCTCACTCCTGTACCTATTACAGCAGCCAGAGACACCGAAAATAAACAAGGGGGGCATTTGTTTCCTGACACCCCTTCCCCCAATTTTCCCACCTGAACTGCAGAATCAACATTACGTGGCCACCTTTCTGCATCTACCATGCTCCTGTGTTCATTGCAGCAGCCAGAGGCACGGAAAATAAACATTTTCTCCTGACATTCACACTCCGCACAGTTGCCACCTGTGTTGAATGAACAACACTGAGTTGCCACACTTCCTCCCTGTGCCAAGCTCCTGTGCTTTTTTTCCCCAGCAGCCTGAGACAACAAGAAATAAACAAGAGAATCTCCCCTGTCTTTGTGGTCGTGGTTTGCCTGCTTTTTTGACAAAAACGACAAAAGCAAACCTTAATCATAAATCTTTGCACCCCAGTGGAGTTTCTTCCTTTCATTCTGTTTATTTCAGACGCAACTCCCCAAACGTGAGCAATAGATGCAAACAATAGTATTAATAATGACTACATCCTTGCAACCTCATGCAAGGACCGGGGTGAGAGAGCATCATCCCTGCTCCTTACAGGTCCCTGTTCAGATGCCTTTTCTCCCTCTTTTTACTCCTCCATCCCTTGCGGATGAAATATTCCCTTTGTCCAAAAACAGCCACCCGCCTTTCCCCCCCTTCTTACAACTCACCCCTCCAGCACGCCCTGCAAGCAGCACCTCTGCCCCTTCCCAAAGATGTCTCTCTGTGTGTCTCTGAGCCAAGGAGGCCTCTGCAACCCCAGAAGGGAGGGAGAGAAGGAGGCAGAATAAGAAGAATAGCAATAACAACACAGGAAGGTCCTTTTGGCATCCCTCCTTCTCGGGAGCCTTTCTAGGAAGCTGGGCTCCATCTTCTCCTTTTTCTTAACCCTTTCCAAAGGCAGAGTATATATGCAAAGGTGCATATAGTTAAAGCTATGGTTTTCCCAGTAGTGATGTATGGAAGTGAGAGCTGGACCATAAAGAAGGCTGATCGCCGAAGAATTGATGCTTTTGAATTATGGTGCTGGAGGAGACTCTTGAGAGTCAAGAAGATCAAACCTCTCCATTCTGAAGGAAATCAGCCCTGAGTGCTCACTGGAAGGACAGATCCTGAAGCTGATACTCCAATACTTTGGCTACCTCATGAGAAGAGAAGACTCCCTGGAAAAGTCCCTGATGTTGGGAAAGATGGAGGGCACAAGGAGAAGGGGACGACAGAGGACGAGATGGTTGGACAGTGTTCTCGCAGCTACAAACATGAGTTTAACCAAACTGCGGGAGGCAGTGGAAGACAGGAGGGCCTGGCGTGCTCTGGTCCATGGGGTCACGAAGAGTCGGACACGACTAAATAACTAAACAACAACAAAGGCAGAGTAGGAGGCAAGCAGGGAACTGCCACTGGAGGGAGAAGGAATCGATTTCACATCATGGTTCAAAACCGCACCAGGGACATTAGGAATCTACCCATAGCTGTTAACGTTTCCCTTTTTTTAAAGGGAAATTCCCTTATTCTGAATAGGATTCCTCGCAAGAAAAGGGAAAAGTTGACAGCTATGAATCCACCTTAGGCCAAGTCGGGCTGTTGGTCCATCTAGCTCAGGATGTCTGCACTGACTGGCAACAGCTCTCCAGGACAGAAGATTATTTTAATCTCAGGGTTGTGGGTTCAAGCCCCAGGTTGGGCAAAATGATTCCTTCATTGCTGGGAGGGGGTAGGTCTAGATGACCCTCGGGTTCCCTTCTAGTTCTACAATTCTATTGTTATTTGTTCTTACCCTCCCAGGGCTATGGTTCCCACAGAGATTTAGTAAGGGGAGCCATGACTGTTTAAAGTGGCATTATGGAATCAGAATTGCAGAGTTGGGAGGGAGCTCAGTGGTCCCGTAGTCCAACCCCTTGCGATGCAGGAATCTCAACTGAATCATAGACGACAGGTGGCACTCCAACCGCTGCTTAAAAACTTCCAAGAAAGGAAAGTCCACCATCTTCCGATGGAGTCCGTTCCACTGTTGAACAGCTCTTACCGTCCAATTCTGAGCACCACGATTGAAGGAGGATATACAAAATGAACTGGACTCCTTGGCAGGTTTTGAATAAACATACACAAATCTATTGGTTGATAACATGACAGATAGACAACGCAAGGATATGTATAATTTTATAACATGCGAAGAATAGTATGTGCAGAGAAATCAGAGAGAGGGGCTGAGGGAAGTCTGGGGGGAGGGAGGGAGGAAAGGGGGGAAATAATGTATATGATTATATGATTTGATAATTTGTTATGTTGAAATTGCTTAATAAAAACATTTTTTAAAAAATTAAGGAGGATATTGACAAGCCGAAACAGAGGGCAGAGGAGGGCAACCAAGATGATCAGTGGTTTTGGAAACCAAGCCTTATGAGACATGTTTGAAGGAGCTGGGTGTGTTTAGCCAGGAAAAGAGGAGACTGAGAGGAGATATGAGATCACAAGGGCTGTCATGTGGAAGAGGGAACATGCTTGTTTTCTCCTGCTCTGGATGGCAGAACTCAAACCAATGCTTCAAGTTGTAAGAAAGGGGAATCCAAATAAACTTCAGGAAGAAATTTATGGTGCAGATGAGGCCTAGCATGTAGTGCTGGCTGAGAATTAATGATTTCCTAGAAACTAGTGACTTTTCAGAATAAATACCATGGCTTTTAAATCAGGGACAAACTGGAAAACAGGGTAAACAAATGCACGTTTATCACTGAATCACAGAGCGGGAAGGGACCCAAGGGTCATCTAGTCCAACCCCCTGCAATGCAGGAATCTCAGAGAAAGCATCCCTTGAAGCCATGGGTTCGAGTCCTACCCTCCAGAGCAGGAGGAAACAAGCATGCGCCTTCTTCCATGGGACAGCCCTTGAGATACTGGAAGACGGCTATCATCTCTTTAGTGCTGAAGGAAAAAACGAGTGACTCCATCTGTACATTAGCAGGGGAGTGTGTATTGCTGTCATTTGCTGTCAGTTCCCCTCACAGAGCTACAATTTCCAGAGTTTCTTGGGAAGAGGGACTGACGGTTAAGCCACCCAAGGAATTATGAATCTGGGCAGGGAATAGGGCATCTCCCTAAGCTCTCTGCACCCTTAACAAATCATCATTATCAAACCTTTATTGGCATCATTTAGAAACATTCAGAATAAATAGGCCAATGCGATCTCGTCACCATTTCAACAGTACAGTCATTTGCCAAAGGGAAAAAGAAACGAGCAATCTATTTCACCTCTGTGGGACTCCGGCAAGGGCAGGGTCCTGTAGCGTACTTTGGCAGCAGAAAATCAAATAGAGGAACTTGGCTACTGTCTTGGTGAGCTCCTGGTCTCTCCCCTGTAATAAGAAGCGTATAACCTCTGTCTCTGGTTTCCATGTTGGGATACATAGGTGGTCTAAGAATTGTTGGTGGAGATCATCATATATTTTGCAATTATGGGCCATGTGAGCTAGAGTTTCCACCAGGTGGGCATCACATGTGCAGTTCCTATCTCCTTCTGCCATACCCGCCAACCTACCCCAAAGGAGGTTAGAAGGATTACAATTGAACCTAGCCAGCGAAAAAGCCCTTCTTTCTTGCGGGTTAAACAAAAATTGTAAATAATTAAGGTTAAATTCCTGCTCCCAGGGGAGTCAAAAATAAAGAGGGGAACATGTTTTTTCCGCAGCTGAGATTAGTTCCTGGTGGTCTATGTCCCACAGCCTAGTTTTTAACATGGCCTTGGCGATTGGAAAAGCCACAGCACCCAGGAGATCCTCTGAAAGCCCAAGTTGCCGTAACTTTATGCAAAACAGTTGTAGCGAAGAGAAGGGAAGGGAAGGGGTCTGACAGAACTTCACTAAGTGAAGTATCTTTGTCTGCTGAAAAACAAATGTTTAGCCAGCATAAAAGAAAACTCGTCAAGGCAACTGTCTTTACCCAATGACAATACCCAGAATTCTTTGAGGGAAACTGACTATATAAAATGGCAAAATGGTTTCATAGGCATGCCATACAGTCATACCTCACGTTACGGACGCTTCAGTTTACGTGTTTTCGGGTTGCGGCCTGTGGGAAACTCGGAAGTACCAGAACGGGTTACTTCTGGGTTTCACCACTTGCGCATGCGCAGAAGCACCAAAACGCATCTGCGCAGACATGGCACTTCAGGATGCGAACGCTGCAGGTTGTGGACATGCCTCCGTCATGGATTACGTCCTCAACCTGAGGTTCCACTGTATATCAAAAAGTGAAAATCCATACACAAAATTTGTTGAGCATTTTTTAAAGTTTTGCCCAAAGTTGTGATTTTTGAGCAAAATCACAAATAAAGACCTTTTTGAGCTCTTTTTAAGGAAAATCGGCAAAAACGGCACTGCCGACGGGGGTTGCCTTACATCCGGATTTTCCCATTTTGACGATTTCCGCCCAGACACTGCTTCCGACTGCAGTATTCTGGGTATGTCCAGACGTACGGCAACCCTAGTTTCAAAATATGGTGTGAATGTGGCCGCAACCTGAGCCTTGGAAAACACGTAGAGCTGAAAGAGGAAGTGGGAAAGAATGCCCGTCTTCAGACTTCCTTCTTCAACTCCATGTGCTTTTCAAGGGATAGAAGGGTAGCCACCCTCTCTCCCCACCTCATGACCAAGGGGGCAGAGGTGGACTTCATGGGTGGCAGAGAAAGACCTAAAGGGCAACATTGCACCCAGGGGGCGAGCCTTAAGTTTGATTCTGCAGGACTCTCCTTATACGACACTGAAATCTTTGTTGATATTATTATTTGAGAAACAGCTGTTGCAAGACACATGGAAGCTCTCGAGTAACAAAAGCGAAAAGACACAATGAGTTACTAGAACCGAGACTGCATTTCGCGCTAACTTTTTATTTAAATAACGGATGAGAACACGACAGTTATTTTCTACTCGCAAAAACAAGGACGTTGGATATCGGTTTTGCTCAACAGAAAACAGAAGCTTATTTATATAGGAAGAGGCTTAAAACAAACATAGCCATTCAAAGGTTCCAGAAGTGAGAAACTTTCTCCAATGTTATACAGTGGTACCTCAGGTTACATACGCTTCAGGTTACATACGCTTCAGGTTACAGACTCCGCTAACCCAGAAATAGTGCTTCCGGTTAAGAACTTTGCTTCAGGATGAGAACAGAAATCGTGCTCTGGCGGCACGGCAGCAGCAGGAGGCCCCATTAGCTAAAATGGTGCTTCAGGTTAAGAACAGTTTCAGGTTAAGAACGGACCTCCGGAACGAATTAAGTACTTAACCCGAGGTACCACTGTATATGAGTTAAAAACAGAATTCTAGAGTAGGGAGGGCCATATGAGGTATGTGTCCCAGGGGGTTGCCAACACTATCAGGCACGCTCATCTCACTTTACTGGCCGAGGGAGCCAGCATACAGCTTCCAGGTCATGTGGGCGGCATGATTTAGCCGCTTCTGGCGAACCAGAGCAGCACACGGAAACGCCATTTACCTTCCCACCGGAGCGGTACCTATTTATCTACTTTGACATGCTTTCGAACTGCTAGGTTGGCAGGAGCAGGGACTGAGCAATGGGCGCTCACCCCATTGCGGGGATTCGAACCGCCGACCTTCTGATCAGCAAGTCCTAGGCTCTGTGGTTTAACCCACAGCGCCACCCTCATGGACAATACTGAGCTGGAAAAACCAATGGTATAGTCTTTTGCATGTATGGCAGATGTGCTGCCCCTTCCCCAAACCTCTGGAGGGCAACATTTTTTAAAAACGCTCAATCAAAAGCATGTGTCTCTCTCATAAGAGCCAAAAGTAAGAGAGAAACCAGTTTGAACGTGAAATAGTAACGATCAGCATGGCTAATAATCTTCTGTACTAAACATGATTCTCTGTGATCCTTCCAGGTGTATCAAAGAATCTAATGAGATTTTATTGTATGTTTCCTCTCAGACGATATGGAACAAATTCCCATATTTTTGTAACCATTAAAATAACACTGTCCCTTTGGAGGCATCGCCGCCTGCGGTACTGAACTCCTGGTGGTCCTTCTTGCCTTTCTGCTTAGCAGAGAAACGGAGCTGCCCCCAAAATCTACTGATTTTTATTGATTTAATAACATGTGCATACCACTTAACTTTAAGAAATAAAGGCAGTGGGGGTTCCCGGCCCCCACCCCCAGTACACCGTGCGAGCTTCCTAAGTGTGCAGAAGCACATTGATTTGTAAGCTAAAAGAAAAAGGATATTAATAATAAAAACAAGAACCTGTGAGCTTCCAGGCCCCGTGGAATGTTGAGGGTGTCTGCTGAGGGTTTGGAAATGGAGGGAAATGTTCACTGCATGATTCCCTAATGGATTATCTTATATATTGCCTCCATCGGCGGGCAGCAGTCCCGGAGAGTGGATTTGCTCCACCCCCGTTTTAAAGCCACCGCAGTTGGTGGCCACCTTGTGGCAGTGAGTTCCACAGTTTTTAACTATGTGCTGTCTGAAGAAGTGCCTCCTGAACCTTCTAACGTTCAGCTTTATTCAATGTCCCCGGTGTGATGAGAGGGGGAGAAAAACTCCCCATTTGCTTACTCTATATACCATACATAATTTTATACATCTCCACCTTGTCCCCTCCCTCCCTTTCCTCCCCCACCTTTTCCCTAAACCAAAAAAAGCCCTTAACGCTGCAACCTCTCATTGCAAGTTAGCTGCTTCAGCCCCTTGGTCATTTTGGTTCCCCATTTTTGTACTTTTTCCAGCTGTACAACATCCTTTGGGGGGGGGAGAGAACAGGACATTTCTTTCCTACGCTTCAAAAGCCTCCAACTGCCCCAAGTAGGTATGAAGTGCTCATGTTCAACGTTGGCAAGTTAACTTTCCCCTCCTGGCAGTCCTTAGACGTGGCTAAAAGTCCCTTCTTCAAGCACGGAATAGGAGCAGTCCCTTCTCAGTCTCCAATTGTTATTGCTTCATTTAGTGCTCTTTAAAAGTATTTTTTTACCCTGCTCTTTAGCTAAAAAAAGGGCCCCCTGAGCAGGTTTAGCACGATCGTCCTTGCTCTTTGATCCACAATTTTTCTATTAAAAAAAACACGACATGAAAGGAAAAAGGATTGGGGAGGGAGAAGGAAAACAAGCAGCCCAGGTACCAGTTCTTCGTTTGCAAAGTACTTCTAAGTGTTCTTTCTAGGAGGGTGAAGGTAGTTGGCAGACACAGCCAGGTTGCCATGATGTTCTCATTTCATTTCCACCTCCCAAGAGCCCTTGGCTCATAGCCCAGGCTTGTGCGGGCTGCCCAAATGGTGCTTCGCAAACCACAAGAGGGGCCAGTCCCTGCCCCGAGGAGCTTACAATCTAAAATTCCATACGCGTGAAACCACAGATGGGAGAGGGAGGAAAGAACAATGGAAGTTGCATTTATTTAATGCATTTAAGACTTAGTTGCTATAGGCAGGGTGTAGGGACTACAGAGGAGGTGTGAAACCTGTGGCCAGATGCTGCTCAACTACAACTCCCATAATCCCTAGCTGTCAGCTGTGCTGCAATTTTTCTTAGAAACTAAAAACACGACACGAAAGGAAAAAAGGATTGGGAGGGAGAAGGAAAACTACAAACCCAGGAGCTGATGGGAAATGGAGTCCAATGATATCTGAAGAGCCACAGGCTCACCATCTGGACCAGGCATAGGCAAACTCGGCCCTTCAGATGTTTTGGGACTACAACTCCCATCATCCCTAGTTAACAGGACAAGTTGTCAGGGATGATGGGAGTTGTAGTCCCAAAACATCTGAAGGGCCGAATTTGCCTATGCCTGCTCTGGACTAAGGGGATGTTTTCAAAGGTTATACACAAACTACACATTCAAAGAAAATGACGCCTCTACAAAGAATTGTGGGAAGTGTAGTTTACCCCTCACAGACCTACAATTCCCAGCACCTGTAACAGCCTACAGTTCCCAGGGTTCTTTGGGGGAAGCCTGTGTGCTTCAAACCTGTTTTCCATGTATGGTGTGTATGCAAACTTCAAAGCACATTCTCCCTGCCTCAAAGAATTCTGGGCACTGTAGTTTTCTTCAGCGCTGCCGGGGATTGCTCCTCTGTGAGCGGAAAACTACAGTGCCCAGAATTCTCTGAGGGAAATAATGCGCTTCAAACTTGTTTCAAAGGTTTATGTAGCATGTATACAGCTCAAAACTCCATGGAAAACCTTTTCCAAGAACAAAGCTAATATTACAGGTATGGAGGCCTCCTTTGTCCGATCCTTACTCGCCACACCGAAGTGCTAGTGATGCAAGACACTCAACCGAGATATTGTGTAAACAGAGATACTGCAACTTCCTTCACACGAAGATCAGGAGGCTACTCCTGGGTTCCTGTCTTCATTTTTCTTCTTTATTTCTGATTCCATTTTCAACTGGGGAAAAAAGAATGCCATATAAGAATTATATTAATACCATCAACAAGTAAAAGAAAACCATGCATGAGTATAAAACAAAAAAATTCCTTCCAGTAGCACCTTAAAGACCAACTAAGTTAGTTCTTGGTATGAGCTTTCGTGTGCATGCACACTTCTTCAGAAGAAGTGTGCATGCACACGAAAGCTCATACCAAGAACTAACTTAGTTGGTCTTTAAGGTGCTACTGGAAGGAATTTTTTTGTTTTGACTATGGCAGACCAACACGGCTACCCATCTGTAACATGCATGAGTATGTCATTTTAGGGGGTGAAATATAATTTTTGCTAATTTCTTCAGAGAATGGTCTTTAAAATATGTTTTTGGGTGTGAGGCATACAAATCTGCTATTATTTTTGTGACTGGACTACATTTAGCTTGGCAAGCATACCTTTGATGAAGAAGCCCACAAGCTGCTTTCAGAAAAGCAAAGGATTTTAAATTTACCTTCTGAAAATGTCAGTATTATTATTATTATTATTAAACTGCAAAGTATTTGGCAACCATTTTTAACTATTTCTATGCAATTTTACACACATTCTACTTATCAGGCATTACTAAATTGTATTAATTTAACCAATGTAACTATCAAATTCCCAGTCATGTTAAAACTTTAAGTACCCCTAATTTTTGGAATATGAACGTTCTAGACACCCTAACCACATGAGTCACTGAAGCACGTGCCTCATACCAACAAGGTTAACAGACCAACCTGTTGAACAACAGAAACCAGATACATTTTACCTAACAAAGGTGTGGAGAAAGCAGACGGAGGTAAGCTTTTTCTCCCTCTCTCATAATACAAGAACTCGGGGAATATTCCAACGAAGCTGAGTGTTGGAATATTTGGGATGTACAAAAGGGAACAATTTGTTCCCAAAAGAGGCAATGATGGCCACCGACTCTGGCCGGCTTTGATAAGAGGACTGGACCAGGGAACCTTTGGCTTGCCAGAGGTTGCTGAACTACAACTCCCATCAAACCCCGCCATTCAGCATGCTCGCTGGGGCTGATGGGAGTTGCAGATCAGCAGTGTCTGGAGGGGTAATAATAATAATAATAATAATAATAATAATAATAATATTTATTATTATGGTTTTCCCAGTAGTGATGCATGGAAGTGAGAGCTGGACCATAAAGAAGGCTGATCGCCAAATAATTAGTTACAGATAGGTAGCTGTGTTGGTCTGCCATAGTCAAAATAAAAAATTCCTTCCAGTAGCACCTTAAAGACCAACTAAGTTAGTTCTTGGTATGAGCTTTCGTGTGCATGCACACGTCTTCTTTCGTGTGCATGCACACTTCTTCAGTGTATCTGAAGAAGTGTGCATGCACACGAAAGCTCATACCAAGAACTAACTTAGTTGGTCTTTAAGGTGCTACTGGAAGGAATTTTTTATTTTGCCAAAGAATTGATGCTTTTGAATTATGGTGCTGGAGGAGACTCTTGAGAGTCCCATGGACTGCAAGAAGATCAAACCTCTCCATCCTTAAGGAAATCAGCCCTGAGTGCTCACTGGAAGGACAGATTGTGAAGCTGAGGCTCCAATACTTTGGCCACCTCACAAGAAGAGTTTGACCAAACTGGGGGAGGCAGTGGAAGACAGGAGTGCCTGGCGTGCTCTGGTCCAGGGGGGTCACAAAGAGCTGGACACGACTAAACGACTAAACAACAACAACAACCAACACTTTGAATTGTGCTTGGAAAAAGGCTCCCCACACCTGGATTAAGACCAATTTACGGAGTATAAGTCCATCAATGGCTACCAGCCACGCTGGCTGTGTTTCACCCTCACAGTTGGAGGCCACAGGCTGCAGACCGCAAGGGAAGAGAGCGCTGTGGCCCTTGAGCCCTGCTTCCAAGCTTCCCAGTGGGGCATCTGGCGGTGCCGGATTTCCAAATTGGCAGAGTATGTCTATGGGCCCTTTTAGGGGCCCTGTGACAACGAATCAAAATAATATTGATGTGATCTTGAAAGAAAATTGCAAGCAAGCTTTCTTAGTTCAGTGCTATACCACCAGAGCCCACGCATGAGAAGGGCCCGAGATTTCGACTATGCAGGGTTAATCCGGCCCTGGCGTCTGGTTAACCATTTCGAAAGACGAGGTGGGCCTCTGGCCTGATGCAGAAGGCAGGCTCTTCTTATAGACCTGTGGGGCCGGAGAGGGATATGTGAGTGGGGTTTCTAAGTGGTCTTGGCCACACTGGCTGCTGACGCCCAGCCTCAATGTCACCCGCAAGGGCTAGGGAATGTGCCTTCAGATATCAGGGACTGGACTGAGGGGGAATGGGGGAGACCACCCCCTTCTCCTCCTGCACTTCCCAGAGGAGAGAGAGACAGTATAGACAGTATAGATTCAGAACAGTGGTTTGCAGAAGGTCAGAGTTCAGAGGCTGCAGAGGGGAGAAGCTGGGGAATATTGGGAGAGGAGCAGGAGGAACAAGCAGAACCTGGGGAGCGACAGCTGACAGATTCAGTGTCTTTGGAAAGCATGCCAGACCTCCACTCTCCCAGGACCCAGCGGGCATTGAGAGTAGGAGAACAGAAAGCTCAGAGGCAGAAAGTCTCAGTTTCTTAGTGCAGAAAGTATTGATCTGATGTGTAGAGATCTTTCCTATTCTACTTAATTCAAGAGGGTTCTGGAAGCTTCCGGAAGCTTCTGTGTGTGAAAGAACCAAGCAGATGCTCCATGACGTTTGGGTTATTCCTTCAGAGAAGCTAAGTACAGCTGGCTTAAACTGGTCCTATTCTCTCTTCTGTCAAGGTCATGCCGACTATAATAGTAAGGCCAGAAAGAGCCTGGGGTTCTCTCTTTCTTTCTGGTGTGGTGTTCTGTACAAAGTGCTTAGTGTTAAGTTTAGTCTTATTATAAGTTAAAGTTAAGTCTGTTGCAACTGGGATTTCTTATGGACAGTGCAAATGCTGAAAATATTGGATTTGTGACCATGATGCTCATTTGCCTTCAGTAGCAAAGCTCTACTGGATGAAATATTCATTGCCTCAGGGGCCACCAGGTGGCGCGTTGGAAGATGGCCGACAATAACATCTCTCTGACCCATACGAGGTACTAAGGGGCTACTATGGGAAGTATGTAGCCTTCCTGAACTCCTCCAGGATGTGGAGGAGAACTGCCCTGCCAGCGGTGTTCACAATGCACCCCCTGAAACGAGTGATGGGGGTGCCGAACACTTGGCAAAAGGCCCTTGGTGAAGTCAGACCTTCCTGACGCCGATTCCAATCAGCACGTGCTGGTTGCTTCAGCTGGAATTATAATTGGAAACATATGATTGGAAACGAAGCTGAAAGCACATACATCAAGTAAAGCTCGAAGATAAGACTGCTGATTAATGGATCTCTGCAACCAGGAGTGACGGATGGAGAAGTAAATCTTCTGATGAATCACCATAAGGAGACTGTATGTTTGGAACGAAGGGGGGGGGGTGGAGGAAAAAACTCTTTTTTTCTTTGCATGATGTGATATTAATAACCCTCCACCCCAGATATAAACAAGATCGTCGCGTTTCTATGAATCATAGGCAGGATTTTAAGAACTATGTGGGGCGGAGTATAAGGAAAGAAGACTGTAGAACGGTGAGAAAGGAAGAAATTTTTATGACGCAGTTAAAAAATGGCGTCTCGCCATGACAGGTTTACCGAGGAAGAAGGACTGGGGGAGGAGAATCAGGATTGTTTGAAAGAGAAGGAATGTTGGAATGTAAGTTAGACCTGACATAACCCCCAGACTCATTTGATTTATTTGGTAAGCCTCAGAAAAATAAAGGACAGATCGGAGATTAACTTTGTTTATGGAAGCGTTGTACAGAGGCTGTCCCGGATTGATATGATTTTTGGAAAAGTACAAAATCCACATAGAATGCCAGCTGTTACCCTGCTTGTGAAAATCATCAGAGATTGCAAAGAAAGGAATTTATGATAACAACAAGAAGAGAAAAGAAGTAACAAAGGACTTTCCGGATCAAACTGGACAGAACTGTCTAATTAATGCAGTAAGATAAGCGATGCTGTTTTGGACTCGAGCTGAGCTTGATGTATGGGTACCCTCAACAAAATTTAAAATTTGGCTGTATAATTTGGAATCAATGTGATAATGTGATGTGATTGGCCTGTTAATAATTTTTTTTTTTTTTAAAAAGAAATATTCATTGCCTCTGGGCTATTTTTTGGGGGGAATCCCGCAATGAGCTTAAGTTTTTACTCTGCTAACTATACACTGGAATCTGCTAGGAATCAATATTGAGTAGAATGATCAATATTGAGTAGAATGCTGCAGCGAGGCTCCTCACAGGGTCCCTGCCATGGGAGCATATTCACCCAGTGCTTTACCAGTTGCACTGGCTCCCGGTGGAGTAGAGTCAGCTTTAAGGTGCTGGTTTTGACCTTTAAAGCCCTTTGTGGCTTAGGGCCCTCGTATTTATGGGACCGCCTCTCCTGGTATGCCCTGCAGAGGACCTTAAGGTCCATGAATAATCACAGTTTAGAGGTCCTGGGCCCTAAGGAAGTCAGATTATCCTCCACCAGGGCCAGGGCCTTCTCAGTGATGGCTCCGACCTGGTGGAATGCTCTGTCCCAATAGACCAGGGCCCTGCAGGATTTAACTTCCTTCCACAGGGCCTGTAAGACAGAGCTATTCCGCCTGGCTTTCAACTTGAACTTAGCCTGATCTTTTATTCCCCTTCCTTCCCTCCCCCTCCCCTTTTTATGAAGATTACCTGCTCTGGGATCCCACAGCTAATTCTCCCCTGGTCTCCTCACTGGCCCAAATAGAACTAATTTAGCCAGCTAGCCCTGGTGATCATCTAATGTTTATTGGATGGAATTTCCCCCTAAACTGATTTCTGAATTCAGAATTTATTGTTATTCATGTTTTATACTGTATTTTATGCTGTTTTTGGTTGCATCAATTAAGTGTTTTAAATTTGTTGTTAGCCGCCCTGAGCCCGGTTTTCTGAACCGGGAAGGGCAGGGTATAAATAGGAGAGATGGAAGGGGTGGGACTTTACTCGGAACAACACCATTCCTGGAAAGGAGAGGCACTTTTCAAAGCCTCTCTGTGAATAGTGAATAAGAGACTCGGTAAGAGCTCTTCTAGTCATCTGCCTCTTGGCTGCCAACCGTGGGAAGGGTCGGATTCCCTGAAGCCTGACCCCAATGCCCTGTCGCAAGAGCCAGGCTGCTCACTTGCCTTGAGATAGAAAGAGCAGCTCTCATGATGAATGGGGTGCTGTACCACCGGGATGCCATGGATCCTGGAAAGTGGCCGCTTTGGCGCAAAACACACCCCACACTCCAGACACTTGAAGCGTTCCTCTCCTGTGTGCGTCCCCTGGTGGTAAACAAAGGACGACCTGTCGGAATAAGACTTCCCGCACTCCAGGCACTGGTAAGGTTTCTCTCCCGTGTGGGACCTTTCGTGGCAAACGAGGGACGAGCGGAAGGAGTACGATTTCCCGCACTCCAGGCAAGTGTACGGCTTCTCCCCTGTGTGGACCCTCTCGTGGCATATGAGGCCCGACTTGTCGGCAAAGCTTATCAGGCACTCCACACACTGGTAAGGCTTCTCGCCGGTGTGGGTCCTCCGGTGGCAAACCAGAGACGAACGACTGGCAAAGCTCCTCCCACACTCGAAGCAGTTGTACGGCTTCTCTCCCGTGTGGCCTCTCTCGTGGTACTGGAGCGACGAGCGGTCGGCGAAATCCTTCCCGCACTCCAGGCACTTGAAGGGCTTCTCTCCGGTGTGGCCTCGGTAGTGGTAGGTGAGGGACGAGCGGCCCGCGAAGCACATCCCGCACACCGAGCACTTGTACGGCTTCTCCCCCGTGTGGATTCTCTGGTGATCGTCAAGGTTCGACTTCCGGGAAAAGTACTTCCCGCAGGCCAAGCACTTGAAAGGCTTTTCTCCCGTGTGGACCCGCCGATGTTCGATGAGAAGGCCCTTGTGAGGGAAACACTTCCCGCACTCGAAGCATTTAAAAAGCTCCTCGTGGACTCTCTGGTGACCGACGAGCTTCGACTGCTGCGCAAAGGACATCCCACACTCCATGCATTTGTGAGGCTTCTCGGTCATGTGGAGTCTCCGGTGACCGGAAAGGTTTCCTTTCCGAGCGAACGACTTCCCGCACTCCAAGCACTTGTAAGGCTTTTCCCCCGTGTGGATGCGCATGTGCGTCGCCAGGGTGGACTTGAAATCAAAGGACTTCCCGCACTCCAAGCATTTGTGAGGTTTCTCTCCCGTGTGGATTCCCTGATGGCCGACGATGACTGTTTTGATGTCCAAACCTTCCTCGGACTCGGAGGACTGAGAAGCTTTCTCAGCCACGTGGACTCTGTGGTGCGTCAAAAGCTCTGAAAACCCAGGGAAACATTTCCCGCAATCCACGCATTTATACGGTCTCCATGTCGAGTGGCATCTCCGATGTTCAAGAAGGACGGACATGTCAGAGAAGCATCTTCCACACTCCGGACACACATTTTTCTTCTTCAAGTCTCCTGTTGGGAGAAAACACACAAGCAAAATTTACTCTTCGCGTCTGGAAGGAAATGCTTCACCTAAGGATTATTAGTATTCAGCTGAAATCCTTGGCACACTGTATTCCCTGAGGCTTCCTTCTCAGCAGTGGTGCTAATAGGTAACTTTTGGTTATGGACTTAATCTAGATCAGGGTTTCCAGATCAGGTCTCCAGCTGTTTTTGGACTCCAGTTCCCATCATCCCTGACCACTAGCCCTGCTAGCTAGGAATGATGGGTGTACTAATGTGAGAGGCCTTTTTTCAGATGACAAATAAAAAGGGCAGTGTTGAGAATGGATTATTTATTTATTTATTTAAGCACTGCATCCTGATTTGGTATTTTGTTTCCCTGCCACTCATTTTTCAAAATGGCTGGAGTGGGGGGAGATTATTGCCATTACAGTGGTACCTCGGGTTAAGTACTTAATTCGTTCTGGAGGTCCTTACTTAACCTGAAACTGTTTCTTAACCTAAAGCACCACTTTAGCTAATGGGGCCTCCTGCTGCCGCCGTGCCTCTGGAGCACGATTTCTGTTCTCATCCTGAAGCAAAGTTCTTAACCTGAAGCACTATTTCTGGGTTAGCGGAGTCTGTAACCTGAAGCGTATGTAACCTGAAGCGTATGTAACCCGAGGTACCGCTGTATTGCAGATCTCAGGGCAGAGGTGTTCATGCAGGCAGGGTCTCACTCCTGCCACTCTGGCTGTCTCACCTGAGGTTGCCTTGAGCGCCTCTTCGCCCAGGCGCCGAAGATTAGCCACCCACGGCTCTTTCCCTCGCTCCAGCTGGCAAATCAGGGCCGGCTTGGGGTCTTCAGATCCTCCTTGGGAAATCAGAAGAAGGGGGAAAATCAAGAACTCCCATACCTATCTCTGTTTTTTAATTTCATTCATTTGCTGTGTTCACGCAGGTCAGGCGTGGGGACCTGACATTCCCAGGGCCACATGCTTCTGGTGGGCGTGGCCAGAGGCAAAAGTGGGCGGAGCAATTGATGGAAATTTTACTTTCGCACATTAGACTAGTTGCGGCCGCTAGACTGATGACTGGGAGCGTCCGCCGAAACCACATAACACCGGTCTTGAAAGACCTACACTGGCTCCCAGTACATTTCAGAGCACAATTCAAAGTGTTGGTGCTGACCTTTAAAGCCCTAAACGGCCTCGGCCCAGTATACCTGAAGGAGCGTCTCCACCCCCATCGTTCTGCCCGGACACTGAGGTCCAGCGCCGAGGGCCTTTTGGTGGTTGCCTCACTGTGAGAAGCCAAGTTACAGGGAACCAGGCAGAGGGCCTTCTCGGTAGTGGCACCCGCCCTGTGGAACGCCTTCCCACCAGATGTCAAAGAGAACAACAACTACCAGACTTTTAGAAGACATCTGAAGACAGCCCTGTTTAGGGAAGCTTTTAAAGTTTAACAGATTACTGTATTGTAATATTCTGTTGAAAGCCGCCCAGAGTGGCTGGGGAAACACTGGGATATAAATAATACATTATTATTATTATTATTATTATTATTATTATTATTATTATTATTATTTTATTTCTACACACAATTGTTATTCAGAGGCATTTACTGGCTCTGAAAGTGGAAGTGGGACACGGCCGTCATTGTTTTCAACTATTAAAAAACAATTATACCAAACTCCTTCTCTTAAATAAGGGGGAAGGCACTGATCAATATATGTATTTATTTTACTTGCAAAAATTTCTCTTGCCCCAACGTTAAACACATATCAAGGGATGAGCAGCATAAAGTCAACAACTGCATTCATAATAAAAGTATAAAATGCATCGCAGAATAATACATCCGCTTGATGCATCAAACATAGCTGGATCCCTCCACAGGGAAAATGTGGGTGAACAGGTGAGTTTTAAGCAGACAACTGGATTCCAGTGCTGCAAATGACTTCCAGCTGTTCATTTGGGAGCGCATTCCAATTGGCCAGTTTAACTAGATCCAGAAGAGGCAGGAGGATTGGAAACCTTCTGCAGAATATTTAAAGCATCATTGTAAACATGGTAGGATCTGAATGAAGAACTGCAGTAAAATGAATGGAAAGCATAGGACACAGAATAGCTATAATATGCAGCGATATTAGAAAAGATAGGGAAACCCCGGAGGAGCGGAGGGGAAGTCAAACGGCAAGTGGAAATCAATTGGAAAGTATTACATTTGTAAACCTTCGAAACTTACAAATAAGAATTGAAAAGGGTGGGGTCTGCATTCCAAGGGACAGAGGTCACCACACTAAAAGCCCTGGACATAGCAGACATAAGGCAAAGCAAACTTCTGTTCAATATGACATCAACCAAGTCTTCTGGCCGAAATGGGAAAGGAGGCTGCTTACCCAGCGAGGCGACGTTCCCATAATTCTCCAGCATGACCTCCTTGTACAAGGACCTTTGGGCTGGATCCAGCAAAGCGGCCTGGCCCTCCGTGAAATATATGGCCACATCTTCGAAGGTCACCAGCCCCTACAAGGACAAAGAAAACTCAGCCAGGTAACCAAGCCCCAGAATCCCTGTAAGTGGCAAATGCAGAAGAAAATCCTACGGGTATCAGAGAGGACCCGCAAGTGGGTTAAACCCCTGTTCATAGAACTATAAAAAAGGTAAATGGACCCCTGACCATTAGGTCCAGTCGTGACTGACTCTGGGGTTGCGGCGCTCATCTCGCTTTACTGGCCGAGGGAGCCGGCGTACAGCTTCCGGGTCATGTGGCCAGCATGACTAAGCCGCTTCTGGCAAACCAGAGCAGCGCACAGAAACACCGTTTACCTTCCCGCCGGAGTGGTACCTATTTATCTACTTGAACTTTGACATGCTTTCGAACTGCTAGGTTGGCAGGAGCTGGGACCGAGCAACGGGAGCTCACCCCGTCGCGGGGATTCAAACCGCCAACCTTCTGATCGGCAAGTCCTAGGCTCTGTGGCTTAACCCACAGCGCCTAAAAAATCTATACTTCACTGTAAAACACAGGAAAATCGATGAGTGACATTGGAATCAATTGCACAACAGTCTCCAGCTCGCAAATCGGTAATAAAACTTTTTTCGTTCCATTTTACCGTATGTCTGTTTCAGCAGTGATATCGTAAAAGCCAAATTTGTAAGGTTGCAAATTTAAGCCATGCTTTAACTTTTCGCAGTCGGAATGTGTGTTTTTTTGGGGGGGGAAGTGTGGCTTATATTGGGGCCAATAAAAGTACCTGATTTGCACTTCACACCCATCCTTTGAAGTTCACATTTCCCTGAATCTTGCATTGCAGTTCTCCAAGCAAACGGTAAGTACAAAAATGCATATATTGGAAGAAATTGTGCATAAAAATGCAGCTATTATTATTATTATTATTATTATTATTATTATTATTATTATTTACAACCACCACCTGCCATTCACCAGCAGGTCCCAGGGCGGGTTATGACAATTTAAGATTCAGAATTTGAAACAGCTAAAACAGATTGCGATCATGGAAATAGACTGGGCTCCATAGCCACAAGGCTATTGATTGCGAAAAATTGGAAAAGTAATATTGTACCAACAGAAATAGAGTGGCTTGCCAAATTATTGGAGTACTACAATATATCCAAAACAATGGGAGAAATTGGAAGGATCTCAAAAGAGAAGATAGATAGGGACTGGAAGGTGTTTGAAAGATACTTGCAAAATCATATCGAAAAATCAGAACTCCTATTACACTAAACAAGTTCCGTTTCAAATACCGAAATACTAAATAAGATGGATAACAATGTGTAATAGAGAAAGAAGTATGAAATTAGGTTAAAAGTGTGTGAAAGAAAGTAATAGAAGTGGAAAGAAATTGTAATTGAGTAGATTGGAAGTCTAACACAAGGGTGGGGTGAGGGGTGGTGGATGGTGATGGGAAAAGGAATTATCTGTGGGATTGAGTGTAGGTATGTTTGAATACTTTTAAGGATTGTATGAAATGTATGTTTGTATGCTTGTATATTTGTAACGTATGTGTATTAATCCTGAATTATTTTAACAATAATAATAAAAAATTAATAATAATAATAATAATAATAATAATAGGAAATACAGTGGGCTCCAAAAACACCTCAGGTGTCTAAGGCCAGGGTAAAGAGGTGCGTCTTCAGCATCCACCAAAATCTGAATACTGAGGTGTCGGACGCACCTCTGTGGGGAGGGAGCCCCACTATTTAGGAGCCGCCACAGAGCATCGCCTTTCCTGGGACGCTGCCACTCTGAACTTCTCAACAAGATGGAAGAACCAAGAAGAGGCAGGAATACCTCTGGATACCAGTGCTGGAAATTCCATTGATTCCAGAACAAAATATTGCATGCACAGAGCCATATTATTATAGACATCTCTTACCCGAACTGGATCTGTTTCGTTCATTTTCTTTCCGGTGGAAGGAGAGGATAATCCAGTTTGAGTCTGGTCTATGGTTCTGTACCCTGTGGGCTGAAGAAAAGCAATGAATTTCAGAGTGATGCTTTCCCCCAACATCGTATATATGGATTGATAAAGATTTCTTACACGGTGGGTTAGAACAATGTAATACAGAGTTATTAAAGCAAACAGAACCGTGGAGTTGGAAGGGATGATCCAGTTCAATCCAACCCTCTGCAATGCAGGAATCTCAGTGAAAGCTTCCCTGACGGATGGATAGCCACCCAAACTCTGCTTTAAAACCTCCAATGAAAGCCAGTCCACCACCTTCCGAGGAAGTCCATTCAACTGCTCTTACCGCCAGAAAAGCTCTTCCTCATGTTTAACCGTAATCTCCTTTCTTGTTTTTTTGAACCCACTGGCTCCACCCTCTAGAGCAGCAGGAAACAATCTTGCTCCATGTTCCTTGCGACAGCCCTTCAGACGGCTATCGCATCACCCCACAGTCTTGTCTTCTCCAGGCATACCCAACTCCTTCAACCATTCCTCATAAGGCTTGGTTTCCAGACCCCTTGATCATCTTGATTGCCCTCCTCTGCACATGTTCCAGGTTGTCAACGTCCTTCGTAAATGTTGCTGCCCTGAACTGGACACGGTATTCCAGGTGTGGTCTGACTAAGGCAGAATAGAGTGGGCCTATGACTTCCCTTGACGCAAGTGGCGCTGTGGTCTAAACCACTGAGCCTCTTGGGCTTGCCTATCAGAAGGTCGGCGGTTCGAACCCCTGCGACGGGTTGAGCTCCCGTTGTTTGGTCCCAGCTCCTTCCAACCTAGCAGTTCGAAAGCATGCCAGTGCAAGCAAATAAATAGGTACCACTTCAGCGGGAAGGTAAACGGCATTTCTGTGTGCTGCTCTGGTTTCACCAGAAGCGGCGTAGTCATGCTGGCCACATGACCCAGAAGCTGTCTGCAGACAAACGCCGGCTCCCTCGACTAGTAAAGCGAAATGAGCGCACAACCCCAGAGTTGTCCACAACTGGTCTTAACGGTCAGGGGTCCCTTTACCTTTACCTTTTATGACTTCCCTTGATCTGGACACTAGACTTCTGTTGATGCAGTCTAGAACAGCATTAGCTTTCTTCAGTGCTATATCACACTGTTGACTAAGCTTGTGTTCCACCAAGACCCCTAGATCCTTTTCACATGTACTACTGGCAAGCCAGGCATCGTCATCCCCCGTCTTATATTTGTGCTTCTGGTTCTTCCTGCCTAAGTGCAGGGCCTTACATTTGTCCCTATTGAAAGAAGACGGCTACAATCATTTTAAAAAGCAAACCAATCTCTAGAATAAAGCCATTCCAACCAAACAGAAGTGTACAGCTTCAGAAAAAGTCGGTCCCGCAAAAAGAAGTTCCTTAACTGTCCAACCGTCTCCAGTAACAAAACAAAACAAAAGCTGGTTCAGGCCGTCTGGAGTGAATGGGTGGTTTTCAACGCTAGTGGATTGTGCAACATGTTCCTTACACAGTAACAGCACGTTAACGGTGGATTTGTTCTGCTTTTGACGGTTCCCCGAAGCTGCCCCATGACCGCTGCCTGGAGGGGGGGCTGCAACTCCACAAAAACGGGGAGCGGGAACATTTGTGGTATGAAGTGTGACAGCATTTCAGCAGGAAGCCACGGAATATGCATCAACTGCAAAATGGAGCAGCGCAACCACCTCCAAACAATTGCAAGTGTACCGTATTTTTCGCACCATAGGGCGCACCGGACCATAGGGCGCACCTAGTTTTGGGAGGCGGAAAACAAGAAAAAATTATTCTGAACCCCAGAAGCCAGAACAGCAAGAGGGATCTGGCTTCTCGGATACCGTGTGGCTGTTCTGGCTTCTGGGGTAACCGCGCCAAGCCTCCTCAGGGCAGCGGGATGAAGGCTCCCCCTGCCCAAAGAGGCTGCGCAGGGCTAAAGCAGAAGCCAGGACAGGCGCGTCGCTGAAGGGGCGCTGCACCTTCTTTCTCTCTCTGCGCAGCGCCCCTCCTTCACAGGAAAGGTGCTGCGCAGAGAGGGAGAAGGCGCAGCACCCTTCAGCGAAGCTGGAGAAGGAATAGAAGGAGACCCTTCTGTTCCTCCTCCGGCTTCCAGGACAGGCGCGTCGCCGCGAAGCCAAGGAGCCTGCATTCGCTCCATAGGACGCACACACATTTCCCCTTCATTTTTGGAGGGGAAAAAGTGCGTCCTATAAAGCAAAAAATACCGTATGCAGTTTTGGGAGTGGGGCTGTGTGTGGCCTTGCCCAGAGCACCAGGAGGAAAATCACCACAAATGCATGATCAAAAGGGTGTCTTGCAAGGCCATATGCCAAAATAACTTGCAGAGCTTTGGATGCTATTCACTGCGACTCAGCTGAGGAGTTGCCAATTGCCTCCCCCCCACTCAAGCAGATAATTATGCTTTATATATGAAGCAAAATATAAAGACTCCCCATTATATTATTTACCAGATCTCAGTGAATAAAGCTATTTCTCTCCAGGTAAGAAAAATCAAATTAAAAAAGAAAGAAAAAAGCAGATTCGGGCTAGAGTCTGTGAGCTAATGTGGTTTTCTTTTCTTACAAATGCAACAAACGAGACAACAAACTGAAATGCATAATGAAGAATAAACATGAAGGGAAGAGGAATAACAAGTTTAAAAATAAAAAATTCCTTCCAGTAGCACCTTAAAGACCAACTAAGTTAGTTCTTGGTATGAGCTTTCGTGTGCATGCACACTTCTTCAGATACACTGTGTATCTGAAGAAGTGTGCATGCACACGAAAGCTCATACCAAGAACTAACTTAGTTGGTCTTTAAGGTGCTACTGGAAGGATTTTTTTTATTTTGACTATGGCAGACCAACACGGCTAGCTATCTGTAAGTTTAAAAAGCTGAAGAAATAATGTACAGTGGTACCTCGGGTTAAGTACTTAATTCGTTCCGGAGGTCCGTTCTTAACCTGAAACTGTTCTTAACCTGAAGCACCACTTTAGCTAATGGGGCCTCCCGCTGCTGCCACACAGCGCGATTTCTGTTCTCATCCTGAAGCAAAGTTCTTAACCTGAAGCACTATTTCTGGGTTAGCGGAGTCTGTAACCTGAAGCGTCTGTAACCTGAGGTACCACTGTATAGCATAAAATATATTTCATGGCAGGGTACAAAGTTCAAATTTATTGCAAAATATATCAGGAATTCATAAAACGTCAACAGATAAAATCACACTCATGTGCCAACCATGAGATTGGTTGGTCCTATAAACAGCCCCCCAACCTGAGGCAAAATATGCGGGTCCCCATTACTATTATTATGATTTATTAAATTTCTATACTGCCCTTCATCCAAGGATCGCAGGACGGTTTATAATATAAAAACATAAAAAGGCGCTCCATAATAACAAGCAAAAACAATATGTGCTGCAATTGCCTTTGACAGCACATATCTTATAGGATCAGTTTTTCAGAAACAGCAATGGGCACAGCTTTTTAAAACCACATGCTGCAAGAGTAGCAAGATGCAGCCTTCCATTCTTGAGAGATCACTAAACAAGCGGCACGTATCAAATTAATTAATTAATGCTACAATTCCTGCATTGCAGGGGGTTGGGCTAGATAACCCTCAGGGTCCCTTCTGATTCTACAATTCTGTGATTCCGTGACAGGGTCCCTGTCTTCTTTTACGCTGATGTATATCCAGTCAAGTTTCGAATCCCCGCGATGGGTGAGCGCCCGTTGCTCGGTCCCTGCTCCTGCCCACCTAGCAGTTCAAAAGCACGTCAAAGTGCAAGTAGATAAATAGGTACCACTCCGGCGGGAAGGGAAACAGTGTTTCTGTGCGCTGCTCTGGTTCGCCAGAAGCGGCTTAGTCATGCTGGCCCAATGACCCGGAAGCTGTACGCTGGCTCCCTTGGCCAGTAAAGCGAGATGAGCGCCGCAACCCCAGAGTTGGTCACAATTGGACCTAATGGTCAGGGGTCCTTTAACCTTACCTTTATATCCAGTCAGACCATGGGTGCATTGAGCTTCAGTGTTGCCTGCTCGGGCTGGCAGAAGCATTTCAGGGTGTTTCAGGCAACTGTCTCCCTAGCTTTACCCAGACAGGCCAGAGTTTGGACCTTGCACCTTCTGCCTGCAGAGCAGCTTCCAATGCCCTCCTGCTCCCCCAAGCAAGGTGGAGGCTCGTTATTATTATTATTATTATTATTCCACTGCATGTCATTTAAGGAAGGCTCCTGCAAGGGGGGAGTGCACCCCTCTCCCCCATTTATTCCAGGCACTTGCAGCAGGACGAGCTCCCTCTCTCTCAACCCCCAGCCTACCCCAGATCTGCCCCCCCCCCCCGCTTCCCAGCACTCACAGGCTGTGCAGGATTCAAGCAGGCAAGATCCAGAGCTTACTTCTCCAATGCACCCAAAGGAAGCCCCTGCAAGCAAGGAGGGTCCTTACAGTCCCGGGGTGTGGGGCTGCAGGGCCCCGATTTCCCAACAAAGCTGCTTCCCCTCCAGGAAGACATCGCCTCCCCCCCCCCGCCAGTGACCTCACCGCAGCAGGATCCCCTCCCCTCCTTTGAAAATGAGGATTGAGAAAAAGGCATTGTGTGCAAGGAATGCTGGGTCTTGTAGTGCTTCTCCCACTACCACCCTTTCCTGACCCAAAGCTTTATGGGATTTGTAGTCTTTCCAAATGTATGGAAGTGAGAGCTGGACTATAAAGAAGACTGATCTCCGAAGAATTGATGCTTTTGAATTATGGTGCTGGAGGAGACTCTTGAGAGTCCCATGGACTGCAAGAAGATCAAACCTCTCCATTCTTAAATAAATCACCCTGAGTGCTCACTGGAAGGACAGATCCTGAAGCTGAGGCTCCAATACTTTGGCCACCTCATGAGAAGAGAAGACTCCCTGGAAAAGACCCTGATGTTGGGAAAGATGGAGGGCACAAGGAGAAGGGGACGACAGAGGACGATATGGTGGGACAGTGTTCTCAAAGCTACCAGCATGAGTTTGACCAAACTGCGGGAGGCAGTGGAAGTCAGGAGTGCCTGGCGTGCTCTGGTCCAGGGGGTCACAAAGAGTCGGACATGAATGTGCTGCAGGTGGCAGCACATTCGGAGCGCAATTTGTTGTGACCAGTGGCATGCTGTTTCGGGGCAGAAACACTTTTTAAATCAAAAGATTATTAATTATTATGAATTTATATTTATATTAAATCATTTCAACATATTACATTATACAGATAAAAAATGAAACATCCCACCCTAACCCAGATGGCAATACATACACAACCAGTGATGTTTTTAGGGGGTACTCTCAGTTTGACTCAAGAAAATCACCATTTTATAGTTCAAATCTGGAAAAGTAAATACAGTAAATGGACAAAATTAAAAAGATTCACAAAATGTTTAGGGATATGCGTATCCTTGTGTACTCCCAGAAAAAATGTACTGTACATAACTGCGACCTCATAACATTAAGTTCTTACCGCAAACAACTATTTGGGCAGAAGGCAACAGTTTAACCAAAATGTCTTATAACATGTGGGGAGTCCTGTTTCTGTTTATAGCCACACGCGTTATAACAATAATAATTTATTGCTTTGCCTTCACCCTAAGTTCCAGGTTGGTCACAACAATTTTAAATTCAATTAATTCACAAGACCCTTAACAACTGCAGTACCGGATACCTCAAGGACCATCTGCTCCCTTATATCCCTTCTGGGAATTATAGGGCCAGAACTATCTAATTTGTACTTATGGAATATGCAGAAATGGCAAAATTTACTGGAAGAATAAGAAATCAAGATAACAAACTTTTTATAAAAGAATGGAAATGGTTTATTGAATTTTTACGGATAAATTGCAAAAAGATAAAAACATTGTAATAGCCTGCAGTTTTATAATATATATTTAAAGTAGATGAATAAATGAGCAAATTAAATGAATTTGGATATGCAGAAGATATTAAAAAATAAATTTAAGGAACCACAGAAAGAGGAGGAAGGAAGTCAAGTTTTGACATGTTAAAATGATTGCAAAATTAATGAAATGTATAAATCTGAAAAGTATATATATTTCATTATTTTTTAAAAAAAAATGCTGCGCCATATCCATATCCATATGCAATGGCAGGATTCAGCCCCGCTTCTTAGCTAAATCACGCAGCCGAGTCTCTCAGAGGCAGAAGTTGAATTGCCATAAACAACAATTCCAACCAGCACTTCCTCTCTGCCAGCCAATCCCCGCCTCAGCCTCCCAATCTCAGCCAATCAGACTCCTCAATTGCAAACGGGCGCCGCCCCCGGCAGCCCAAAGCGTTGCTGGGAGTTGTGGTTTTCCTTTTTCACCGGCAACCTTTCCAGGCGCAAGGGTTGCTGGGATCCGTAGTCTTTGCCTTCGTCTTGCTCGCGGAGTCTGCGTTTCCTAGAGAGGCTCTACGGAGCGAAGAGCAGGCGGAGGAAGGAGCGTCACTTCCGGGCCTCCCAAGCCTACCGTGGGAAAGTGGCCCTCGCCTTTCCCACGGGTGCAGGATGAACGACTCCGGCGGGGCTGGTGAGTTAAATGTTGGTTATATATATATATATATCTATAGTGGAAGTGAAGGAGGTGAGGACAGGTGACCCCACCTAGGCCCGAAGTCACCCCAGGCCTCAAAACCAAATTTCCCCTTTAGAACGAATGAATGAATGAATGAATGAATAAGAGTCATCTTGGCCAGTAGCCATTGGAAATTCTCCTTGAATTTGCCTAACACGTTTAAAGCCAGCCAAGATGGCAGCCCACCCCAACATTTTGTGGTAGCAAGATGAGAAGGTGCAAGAGAAGGGCACCCTTCTGAGGCCAGATCTCCCTTCTCCAGGTAGCACCAGACCCAGGGGGGTTGGGAGGTGGTTGTCACAGACTCCCATGAGTCTCACCCAGCATAGACAACGGTCAGGGATGATGGGAGTTATAGCTCAGTTGGTAGAGCATGAGCCTCTTAACCTGCGGGTTGTAAGTTCAAGCCCCACATTGGACAAAAGATTCCTGTATTTCAGGGGGTTGGACTAGATGGCCCTCGTGGTCCCTTCCAACTCTACAATTCTATGACATCTGGAAGGCCGCAGGTTTCCATGCCTTTTGCTTAAAACATACCTGTGTCTTAAATGAATGAATGAATTTGTGCCCTATTTTGAAGGTCCTGTTTCTTCCCTGCTCTCTTAAAATGTCACTATATGTATATTTGCCAGCAGATGCCGTTTGGGAGAACGAGGAGCAGAAGGACAGAACATCCAGGATGTCACAAGAAAGGATCGTGACCATGGAGGTGGAAATGAAGATTGGGAACCCAGATGAACCACATAGACGGGATGAAACCCTACCAGAGGACGGCAGGAAAGAATCCTCCGCTTTTCAAGGTGGAGATCTCCCAGATGTTCAGGAGATGATAGACACTGAAGAGGACAGGAATAAATGTATCACATGTGGGAAAGTATTCAGAGACGACTCAAACCTTCAGCGACATCAGAGAACCCACACAGGAGAAAAACCCTATCAGTGTTTGTACTGCGGGAAGAGTTTTAGCCGGAACACGAACCTTGCTTCACATCACAGAACCCACACAGGGGAGAAACCGTATATGTGTTCCATTTGTAGCAAGACTTTTTGTGATAAATCGAGCCTTAACCGACATCAGAGAACCCACACAGGGGAGAGACCGTATGAGTGTGACGAGTGTGGGAAGAGCTTTGATCTGAGCCAGTCTCTCATTAGCCACCAGAGAACCCACACGGGAGAGAGGCCCTATAGGTGCTCGGAATGTGGGAAGACTTTCAACCGGAGTCAGAACCTCTGTAGCCACAAGAGAATCCACACGGGAGAGAAACACCACAAGTGCTTGGAATGCGGGAAAAGTTTCAGCCGCAGCCAGAACCTTACAAGGCATCAGAGCAGCCACACAGAGGATAAACTGTATAAGTGCCATGAGTGTGGGAAAAGCTTCCGTCTCAGCCAGTCCCTTATAAGTCACCAGAGAATTCACACGGGAGAGAAACCATATACGTGCTCCCAGTGCGGGAAAAGCTTCAACCGGAGCCAGAACCTTATCAGCCATCAGAGAATCCACACTGGAGAAAAACAGTACAAGTGTTCAGAATGTGGGAAAAGCTTCAACTGGAGCCAAGATCTCCTCCGTCATCAGAGGATCCACACAGGAGAGCAACCCTATCGCTGCACGGAATGTGGGGAACGCTTCAATCGGCGGGAGAATCTTATCAGACACATGAGAATACATCTGGGAGACACCACTTAAGTTGTAGTGAGTGGCGGGGGGAGGGGAGTGAACAGAAGCCCCTTCCTTATCATTCATCTGACAATCCACTTTTATTTTTAAAAGCATGCCATTAGAGAGATCTATGGTGTGACCACATTTCGAATAGTGTGTACAGTTCTAGTTGTCTCACCTCAAAAAGGATAGTGTGGAGTTGGGAAAATTTCCGAAAAAGGCAACCCAAATGATCAAGGGAATGGATTGACTTCTCCGCCCTGCGTCAGAATTTGGATTGTAAGCTCCTGGAGGACAGAGACCTATCTTCTTAATATTACTATGTAACAAAACATGCACAGCAACATTTCTATTCAAATAATTTAAAAAGTTTACATCCCCTAGAAAAGATGTGTTCCATCGTAAGGCAGAATATAACATTCACAACAGCTTGTTTAAGTGTGTGACAAAAAGTAGTTTTAAACATGCCTTGTTTTCTTGTTGGGTATTTTTTGCTTCACTTAATATTTATTAAACTGATACCCCCCCCCTTTATTTCTGAATGAGTCTATATGCAATGCATTGCTAGCAACAGGAGATTTATTCAGAAAATTCTACTACCCCCATCATTCAGCCCGGACATTGAGGTCCAGCTCCAAGGGACTTCTGGAAGTTCCCTCCCTGCGACAAGTGAGGTTATAGGGAACCAGGCAGAGGGCCTTCTCGGTAGTGGTGCATACCTTGTGGAACATCCCATCAGATGTTAGGGAGATAAACAACTATCTGACTTTTGGAAGACATCTGAAGACAGCCCTGTTTGGGGAAGTTCTTAATGTTTGATGTTTTATTGTGTTTTTAATATTCTGTTGGGAGCCTCCCAGAGTGGCTGGGGAAACCCAGCCTGATGAATGGGTTATAAATAATAAATTTGTGTTATTATTATTAAATCCCATTGTGCTTGCTTCTACACCTGTCTTTGCCAATCTGGTGGCATCCAGATGTTTCAGACTACATCTCACATCAGCCCCAGGCAGCAGGTGAATCTGCCTGATTTTTTATATGACTGAACTCGTAAATTGCACTGTGCACTTAAAAACCACTCTTCTCCTTCTCTTCTTCTTCTTCTCTGGAACGGATCCCATTCCATAACACGAGGTTCCACTGTATGTTGCTTTAGGTTGCCTTGAGCAACATAAATTTAATTAATAATAACAACAGTAACTACAACTGTAGAGAGGCAGTGTGGCATAATGGTTAGAGCGCCCAGGGTTCAAATTCTGCTTACTGGGTGACCTTGGGCCAGTCACTGCC